AAAAAAAAAAAAAAACAAAAAAAAAATGCATAGGTTTACTTTAAATTTTAAAAAAAAAGTTTACTTTTTACTTTGACAAGAGATGATTTTGGTTTATTTATGAACTATTTTTAATTAAATTTTCCTAAGTAAGTCTTAAAAACGTTTATTATTACATAAAAAAATTACAATTGAGATTTATTAAACAATTCTTAAATTTGCGAAGTGTATCAATAAATGTCTGTTGTTTTTTTTTTTTTTTTTTTTTTTAAGTTTAAAGTTAGAAATATTTTTGTTTTCGGTTTCATTCTAGAGAGGATTGAGTTGGGACTACTAAGTTAAAAAAAATCTTTAACTGTTGGGTGTGATAAAAATACATTGATTTTAAATTCAAATGTTACTTCTCAAATGACTTTTTTTTAATAATGGACAAATTAAAAAAAAATCTTTCAACAACTCTAATATTAAGTTTTAAACAGATATTTCTATATTTAATTTCATAATTAAAAAAAAAAAGTCAACTTATGTAGTAGTCGTTTTCCCAAAGTTCAATCCCCACGTCCAGAAAGGATAAAACAAAAAAAATATGTTCCGGACAGTTCAGAACTCTGAAACACTTGTGACTTGTTTGTCAAAAGTAAAAGTGACCCACAAAAAAAGTCGACAGATGTCTTCTTCTTCATCCCCCTACAATAGTGCAAGACAATGGATGAAAAAGGTTGTCAGTCTATCCACGCGTTTTGGTGATTTTTTTTTTTTTTCACTACCCCGTTTTTGTCGACTTAATAACTTTCTTTCATCTCGTAAATTTATTTTAGTGGTCGATAGTATTTGCTAACTAATAAATTCACAACTTGTACATGTCTTTGATAAGTAGACGTATATCGGAATCTTTTTACTACTTTAAAAAAAATGCTTCTAGAGAAGCCACAAGTTAATTTAATTGTAGCTCCATGTTGTTTATAGTGTTGGTCACATGACTTCTTCCTGGTTTCATTTTCTGCGGTTTTCAGAATGAGGCTTTCATTTCAATTAATTTACTTCTTAATCAGAGTGTAGGTCTGGGTTTAGATTTTTTTTTCTTTAATAACGTCAAGCAGAAAACCTTTAAATTAATCACAAACTAAAACTTAAAGCTAGGTAACTAAAAATAACAAAAAAAACTGTGCCTAAAGTTTAAAAATGCATTATTTTTAAAATTGAAAAATCTAAAACTTCTCTAGTTTAAATTTACAAAGTAATAAAAATTAAATAAACAAAACCGAATTTAGGTTGATTGGAATTATTTTTTTTTCTTCAGATTATCAGTAAAATTTATAAAATCGTCGATATTGACAAGTCTGTCAACACAACATAATTCTCTTTATTAAAAAAAATCTTTCAAAAATAAAAAAATATACTATATTTAGCTGATTTTTAAAGTTTAAATTAATCAGAATTGAAACATCTTTAGTTTATCACAGAAAAGCAGTTTTTAACAAGGAGGTGTTGACAAATCTTTTGACAATCTGATGTTTGGGAAATTTAAGTAAAGAGCAGAACATTGAAAGAAAATTACATGATGAATACAACGTAAATTTGTTTAACTACCAATAATCTTAAAAATTTTAAATATTCTAACCACACGAATATTTTATTGAATTGTGAGTACTTTGGCTTTATTTACAAAGCATGCTTGTACCAATAAATTTGAAATTACTAAGGGCTGTTGAATTGTATGTTTTTCCATTTATGATAGTTTTAATTTAATAACGATATCACTTGACTTGACCAATACAAATTAATACAAGTTTTTGAAGGCTTATAAATTATTCCAATTAAAATTTGAAAAAAACATTTAGATTCTTGTAAATATTCATTATTAATTGAATTTTTTTTTTAAGTCCGTGTACACACAATACATTTTATTCATAAAGGCAATTTTTTAATTATATAATGTCTTAGATTTATTTCATTTTTTTTATTTTACAATTCAGAGTAGATTTTCTGTTTGACAAAAAATTTGATGATTTAATTTCTCTGAGGACTTGTCCTTATAACTAATATAAATGTTAGGTGCATGTGATTTCTTCCCAAAAAGATACTCAAATTTATAGTCCCACATTGATGCCAGAAAACCAAGACTTTTAAACAAAATTTCCAAGGTTTTAAAAAGAATTTAAAAAAATCGTTTGATCTTTCATCTTAATAGTAAAAAAGTTTTGTTGATAAAATTATGTTTTGTGCATTTTTCTCATCATGTATGCTCTTTTTTAGTAAAATTTTTGAATATCAACCTTTCTGCTCCTATTTTAAAAATTTAATTCCTAATTTAGAGCAGTGGATATGAATATGTGGTGATTTGGAGCAAAAAGCATATTGTGGCTGAGAACACCTGTTAAGAGTTAGTCAGTTAAGTCTAAAATTTAATAGATATTTATGTGTTTTTTATCTGAGCATAGAATAAAGAGGTTAAGAATCACCAATAAACATTTTGAACCAAAAACACCAGAGAAGTATTTTCAAGTCAATAAGATTCTTCATTGACTGGAATGTTATGATGGGAGGCGAGGAAAAAAATCTTTGTATTTTTATTCTCTTACTCACAATATATAGCACTTGGAGATTGTGAACTATTTCCTAATGTTTGAGATCTGATTTGTAGCACTTGCTATTTAAGTTTCTCTCTCTCTCTTAATTGTATTTTTCTTTTTTAATTCACCACAATCTGTATTCTATTGTCACTTGTGGAACTAAGGCTACAATTAAAAAAAAAAAAGTTATTGTTAATTGTGTCAAAATAAATCTAAATATTTTTCTTGTTATTCTGTGGTATTGAAGAAATAACTAACTAGGGATGGCTAATACGGGTGTAAAATTTCAAAAGCAATATAATATTTAGAAAGAAAAAAAATTCTGGTTCATGATGGGAGTAGCTTTTAAAACTTGCTTGGTTTATTAGAATATTAGCTCACAATGAGCTTGTAATTTGGCATTTTTGGAACATTTTCCAAGTGATATATGCTTTATTTAGTCTGTCTGAAAGTAGGCACTCTCAAGATTTCAGAACTATGTTTTAACTCCAGGTATTTGTCAAGTTATTCTATGGTTAATCAAAACTTGTACATGTTTATGATTTACTTTTGAATAATTAGTTCAGGATAATTCTTTTTTTTTTTTTTCTTGCTAGGGAAGTCACTGGTATCTTGTTAAAATGAATGTTGTAAGTCACAGATTTAATGTGACACTTGAAAAAAATTACCTATATTATGTGAATTTTGGACCCCTATGAGACAAATAGTCAAATTAACTTATTTATTTTTTTTGTCTTTAATACCCTCCCCCCTTCATTTTGAATAATGCTAACAAAAACTGCTTGAGACAAAAGTTTTTCTCTTGGTGCAATTTCCTAAATATTAAAACAATTTAAATCTGCAATATGTAAGAAAATTATTGTCTGGAAGATATTTAAAATGTACTTTGTTCTTTTCATACATTAAATTTATCATTACCTGCTTTTGGCACCATATGCTAGTTTTTGTTATAATGTTCCTTACATTTGTCAGGAAATTTTTTATTTCTATAGTGTGCAATCTATTTTTGACATATAAAATCCTCCAAAAAGTGTAAATAGGTTAAATGCTAAATTTAAGCTCTTTTTGAAAATTTTGGAGCTTCAGTGTTTCTGGACATGAACCCTATTTTTTTTTTTTTTTTTTTTTTTTTTTTTTTATTTTGAAGTGTGAAAGTTTTGTTTTAATCTTCATCTTAAATAACATTAATACAGTTCCATAATTTAACTGAAAAGCATTCAGGGGCCTCAAAAACCACAAATGACTGCTTTGATCTATTGTACAAACCCAATGTGTAAGGCACTACCTTAAGTGGTTCTTGAGCCTTGTAATGTGTGAAATTTAAAAATAAAATAAACAAAAAGCTGATCACTTCACATTTACTTTTTCTTTTTTAAGAATGCAAAATCAAGCTGCATTAATTTTACTAAATTTATTTACATTTTATTTATTTTTAACCATTAATTATTTTCCTTAAATTTGGGGAATGTAATGTTTTTTTTTATGAAATTCATATAGTTTATTTAATTTTTTTTTGTCATAGCACTAAAAGATGAGTTACTATGTAAGACATTAAATACTGTGTAGGGAAGTGGTAGCTGCTTTAAACTTGTAAATTTGTTACATAAGTGCAGATTTTAAGGTCGCTGCCAGGTTGATAATTTTACTTTGATGTTTATTTATAACTAACAGCAATAAATAGACTTGACCTCTTTAATGTCTTGATTTATTATGGCTTGCATTACAATAAAAAGGATGTTTTTCTTTTATCCATTTGGATTAGAAATCTGAATGCAGATAAAGAAAAAATGTTAAAAATATCTGAAAGTTAGTTTGTGTTGAGAATTAAGTAATTTGATTCATTTGTAATAGTTTTAAAAAAAATCTTTCATAGCATCTCACATATTTTAATTTTTGAGTTTATTTGAGACTTCTCTAGCATATATTGGTGAAAAGTTTTGTAGAGATAGTTCTTGTATTTTAACATGTAAAGCAAAAAAAAAATGAGTTGCTGAGGAAATCTGATTTAAAATTACTTTGATATGCATTTAACTATTATTAAACAAATGTCAACTCATTCCATCCTAATGTCTTGGGATTGGAGAAATTAACATTTTGCTGACAAAAGAAATAACAGCAAATTTGTATCAGAAAATATTTCTTTATATTAACATGAATAGTTTTACTTAATTTGCAGAGTGGTTTGATCCCAAACTTAAAGAACTTGCTTGATAATAGCAGAAACAGTGATATTTGAAAAAATAACTGTCTACAAAAAATTGAAAATAACCCCATCAAGGAAGATTTTTGTTTTTTGTTAATTTTATGTTTTTAAAGTCTGGGTAATTCTTAATAATTACCTTGACAATAGTTGGAATATTCTGCTGAGAAGCAATTTGTATAAGCTATTTAAGTGAAAGAAACTTTTGAACCCTTTATTAATGAAATTTATATCTTTTCTAATTTCAGATTTGGTACTGTTGTTATACCACCAGATTGCAAAATGTCTTCACAGGACACTTCTCCTAATTCTCAGGAGACCTTTAACTTCTTATGGGAGTCTCTCGAACAAGTTACAGCTAAGTAAGAACTTTAATTTTCACTTGTCTGTTTGTCATTGAATATATAACAAGGACATGTTGGAAAGTTTCCAAAATTTGATCAAATGTCAGATTTTATTTGTTTCTTAAGCTAATCCCTTTTGTTGGCCATCATTTAGAAATTCTCATTGTTATTTCACTTTGAATTAGATTTATCAATTTAAGTATATATTTTTTCTTCATATTTTTACACAATTATGCTACAATTAAGATTTTAACTGTTAACTTTATAGTAGTATTCTTGTATTACGACTGCTTCACACAACATATAACCATATTTTTACCACTTAGTTCTCCTTAGATTTGCTTTATCAGCCACAGTCTCTTGTAGCTTAACCAACAGAATTGCTGAGGATTTTAAGTCTTGGCAAAAATTTATTCCTTATTTAAAATCTGCAGTTAACTGATGATTGTAGACTGAAAGTTTGGATAGTTGTCATGAAAACCAACTAAAATGAAAGAAATACTAGTAAAAATTAATCATTGTTGACTATGCTTCATATTTATAAAAATTAAAAATCAAGACAGTTTTACAAAGTTAGACTTGTTTAAAGTCTATCATTGCTTGATTAAAATCTTAGATCATCTGACCAATAAATATATATACACGCACACACACGTGTGTGTGAATTACAATTAATGAGATTCAAACAATTTACTTCATACAGATGATCATTTCATCCATGGGAAATTAGTTTTTCCCTGGACTTATCAATGCAAATACATTTACTAAAATGAATAAAAACCCACATTTCTTCACAGGAAATTTGAAAAGCAAAGGAAGGAAAAAAAGAAAGAATAAAAGGAGAGGGAGTAAGAATTGGCCTATAATAGAGGATAGTTATATAGAGATAGAGAGGTAAGAGACCAAAAGTGGTTGTGGTGGAGTCGGCTACAGATAAATGCAACATTTGAAAATGGATGCTGACATAAATGTAACCTATCAACACCTGTTCAAGGAAGAAGGATGAACAAAAAAAAGCCATAAAATTTTTTAGAAAGGTGTTTAAGATATAGAATGGGAGTAAGAATTTAAAATTAATACTTTTATAAAAAATATGTTAATATTAATCCATTCAATACTACATCTTTAACTATATAGTAAAAAAATTAAGTAAATTATTAATATATTAATTTCATTTAAATATAACCAATCTCATTATATCAATAAAGCGTTAATAAAGTTTTAAATACCAAGTTTTTAATTTAAATTATATCATACTTATACTAATTATTAAAAAATTCTGTAAAGGATTAAATTTAAATTCAATATATAAAAAAAAAAAATTAAGTATTATAAAACAAATATAGAAGAAAATTCCACATCTCAAAAACAATTTCACATATAGAAAAAAAAATTTACATATAGGGAAGATGTCACAATAGAAAAAATTCACATATATAAATGAAAGAGAGGAATGCAATGTTTGGCTGATATTATGTTAGTTGAAAATTGTTCCTTCTTTCCTTCCTTTGTCTTTCAAGTTTCCTGTGAAGAAATGTGGGATTTTATTCATTATAGTAAATGTATTTGCATTGATAAGTTCAGAGAAAAACAACTTCCCCCATGGACAAAATGATCATCTGTATGAGGTAAATTGTTTGGATCTCATTAGCTGTAATTCACTTATATACTTCATAATAAAAATTATATTGAGCTCTCTTTTGTGGATCAATTTTAATATTTTATATTAATAGGATCTACTTGGATTACTTATCCACAGATAATAGTCTCTCTCTCTCTCTCTATATATATATATATATATATATATATATATATATATATATATTAATCCAAGTGTATAACCTACCTAATGAGTTTGTGTAAATGATGACAGAACAGGGTTTTAAGAGAGATAGCAAAAGACAAAATTTGTTAAGACCTACAAAGGACAGGAAATTGTAGAGAGCCATGATTGTCAACTGTCCTGGATTGAAAAATTCACATTTTTCTTTAGTAAGACATCTTGATCTAAACAGTTGAGACGTCAGCTCAGCACGCATATCAACTAACAGTAATGATTATACTAGTAAGAAATTATATAATTTTGCTTGCAACTACTCAACCATATTGAACTTGTTTTCTCTTGACATTGTACCAGTTTATAAATTGATTAAATTGCAATGAAAGTCATTAAAATAGACAATATAATTGATTTGTGGATACAGAACTTTACTTACTTTTTATGCATTTTCTTGTTTATGATTTAAGAAAATCTGCAGTCTAATTGCTTTACTATTGACATAAACATCTGACCTGTTGCTAAAATAGCTTTTCATACCATTTGAGAGAAATAAAAAAAAAAAAATTTTCTGCTGGTACAATTTGTCACAAATTTGAACCATTTTTATAAGTGAATCTTCTTATATTTATATAAATAACCCCTTTCTGGTAATTAATATATTAAAAAAATTTTACGAAAATGTTTATGAAATTCTTCTTCCTATTTATATAAATATTTTTTTAAAATATACACGATTTTACATTGCATATTGCTAGGCTTAAATTTTTTAAATATAAATTTTAATTGATCTAAAACCTAATTCAGTTGTTTAGATGAATATAAGTGTTATTACATCAAACTTTTTTTTTATTCTCTTGGCAAAATATTCTCAATTTTTGTTAACACAAATATAACATTTCTTTCAGTGAATATACACAGATTCATGAAAGAGGAGTTGGCTATGAATATCATGAAGCAGAACCAGATCAAACCACTTTGGAGATTAATTCTTACAGAATTGGACAACCTGATCCTTATGTAAGATCAGAAAGCTATGATTTAGTAAGTTTAATTAAATGACTTGTAAATGAAAATTATTTTTGTAGGCAAACAAAGCATCCTAACAAAAAAAATATACAAACACATTTGCCATATTGTTAGAGCTTCACATTTAAAAAATTTTAGTTTGAATTGTTTTCATTAATTAATGCATGATTATTATTGTTCATTATAAATTAAGAAAACATTTTTGAATTCTAAAAGGCTATGGAAAGATTGTGATTTTCAGGATTTTTTTCTATAGCAGCCAAACCAATGTGACTTGATGATAAAAAACTTTATAAAAATATATTCAATAAAATATTAACTATCCTAAAAGTATATTTTTTTGTTTTTGGTGTCTTTAATATAAAAGGCTCTAATTTGATTCTCTCACTTCTTTCATATTATTAATGTATCCATTTTTGTATTTGTAAATCATTTTGAAATTTATGCTGGTATTTTAGAAATTAAATTAATCCCCCCAAGATTCAAACGATGATATATAAAGTGTAATCATGATTTTTGATGAAAGCATAATATTTTTTTTCTTGGAATGATTTTGGTTAATTAGTGTTACATTTTTACCTTTTTGCTTGATTTGAGAAAATAATTTCTATGATGTTTACCTTAGAATATAATCATTTTTCCCCAAGCCTTAATGTGAAATGTTATTCTCTTCTCACCATATATGGATTTAATTTAATGTAGAACTTTGGAATCAGTGTAGCATCTGCTTGATCCAAAATTCTTTATGGAAAGTTAGAGCAAAAGGAAAATAGGTTGCAGTAGAAAATATTTGTGCATTCCTTATTGTTTCTTGCATATGATTATTCAAAATTTAGTTAAAATGAATATTAAAATTGATAAGAGAGAGAGCACGTGAAGATACATGCAAAGTGAGTGGGAAGAACAGACGCATGAGATAATAGATCTTTTTAGTTGTCAATATCTATGAAATTTACAAGGGTTCAGCTAGTCAGTTAATTGTAGATATTCAAATTGCATTTAAAGTTGAGGTTGAGGATGAAAGGTCAAAATATTTTTCTTGAGACTTGAGGTTTCAAAAAAAATGGCAGCCAAGTAGTAATAAAACTGTTTTCTCTTTTACTATTATTGATTCATTTGTATTATTTTTCTTATGAATGAAATACAAGTGCTTTTTTTGTTTTTATTTTTCCACCAAAAAACTTCCAATTTCTTTTTTGTTCTGAAAATTGTACACTTCTTTGTCTTTTTCCAGTGCACTTGATTTGCCTTGAATCACTTTTTATCATAAACAGACTTGAATATCTTGTGTATAATTGGTTCTTCTCAATTGAATAGAGCCCATAATTTATTGTACCTTTTTCAACCCGAGTAGAATCATTGTGTGTGCAATACTCTTCTTTTCTAGAATCCACATAAGAAAAGCTGTTCTGCACTTAATTGTCACCTTGTTTGATCAAAAGGCCATTTATCTAAACCTAGTCAATAGACCAAAATTATACCTAAAGATGTTTCTTTGCATCCAGAAGTCATGTTTTGTTGTTACTCTATTGTTTTCATTTTTTTTTTCCTCTTTGGCAAAGATATTTTGTTCAAATATAATATAGAATTCATCTAAATAATATTTCCCTAGAGGCAAATTATTTTTTCATTAGACTATTTTTTTTTTCTTTAAAAAGCTTTGCTTTTGTGTCTTTGAGTATTCAGTGGATCATGAGATTGCGGTAAATGAACCAGTTTATTTTAACCCCAAAGTTAAGCTAAAGTGGATTTCTTTCCTCTTTCATTGATTTCAATATCAGATGTAAAGTCTTTAGAATGTGCTCTAGTATTTTCTCTTTTGTATTATTAATCCGTTTGTCATAATATTTCCTCTTCATCATATATTTGTATTGGCATGCCAAGCTCTTTTCAGTTTTTACTATTGTTTGGTATTTTTTAATTGTTATTGCTATGACAAAGGAGATAAGAAGTTGGGACTGACATCTAAAATGTTACAATTGTTACTTTTCTCTTTTTGTTCTTTTTCATTGAATTTCTAGTCAGGCGTCTTATAGCAATCCTTTCTTTCCATTCTTTTTAATAAACAAAATTAGTTTTTAATATTTTAAATGTTAGCAGTTCTAACTTGAGTTTGATATGAACTGAAATGCTTTCATTAGAATATTTTTATTTCCTATTCCAAAGTATAGCAATTAATTTAACTTATTAATTGCTTTTTCTGTTTCTATTTAATTCCAGATAATTTAACTGATTATTATCTTTTAAAAACAATTTTCTTGATTGCTATATAAACTTGTATATACTATTTTTGATTTGTAATGTTCCCACCTTTTTCAGTAAGAAGTTTTAAAAAAATATTTTTCTCAAACACACAGTGTGCCAGGTAATTGAGAACAAATTATAATATAAAGATATTCAATAGAAAGAAAATGTTATATTTTCAGAAGAATTAGTTTGAACAGTGGTCTTAATGATGCTTTGAAAGTGACTGCATACTCTGAGTGGGTGGTTCTCATTCATGGGGTCCTCTAATGAGTCCTTGATATAGTGTGACTGACACCTGGTTGGTCTCCCCCTCAACAGCACCCTAAATGTCGTAATCTAGGGGATTCAGACTAGGGATAGATAGGAAGCTATCAATAGCTGTGGAGGAAATAGGAGAGTAAAATTTCTTGGTCATTCACTCCTGGATGACTTGGGCAAAGTGGAAGAGAGCCTATACAGTCATTCCTTTACTTCAAGGGCTTGACCATGATGCCCCACACCTCAATGTAGGCAGTGGTATTGTGGCTAAGGGTCTGCCTAAAGAAGTGGCATGGCATGACTCTTGTTTCTCAGGACCATTGCAGTGTGTTACATTCATGTGACATACACAAAGCCATGTTCCATCCTCTCTATTCATCTGACTACATTCAAGAAGTTGGCAATTTCAGTATTTCTGGCATTGGCAGCTTGTGCCATGGGCATTGGCATTACCTTTTCATTTCTTGTCAGATTGAAAGCATTTATGTTCTCATTGTGTTTGAAAAAGAAATGAAAATGTAAAATGTTAGCACATGCTGTGTAGCTAGGGTAGGGTGTCCTCTGTTTGTTTTGCTGAAGGTATGTTCTCAAATACCAGGCACATCTCTCTCTCTCTCTCACACACATATGCATACATACGCATGTTGGGTGCGATGGATAAATTGTCTAAATTACGCAAAAATGAAAATTGACATCTCATTTTAACAGATATATTTACCAGCATTACACAAAAATATCTTGAAATACTAAAGAGTAAATTTATTTGATAAAATCGCCATTGGCTTCAACCACAGCTTCCAGATGACTTTGAAATCTGGATGGTCTCCTTGTTTAAGTTTGTGAATGCTGCCATAATCCTTGCCTTCATTTCATCTTTGGTATTACAAGGAGTTTTATTGGTTTCTTGCTCAGCTGTACCCCACACATAATAATCAAGGGGTTTGCAGTCTGGGGAGTTAGGTGGCCAGATGTCTGGTGATGTGGTTTCAGAAATTGTCTGACAGCCATGACTGTGGTCGCCTGCTTGTATGACATGGTGCAGAGTCCTGTTGCCAGACAGTGTCTTCCAGCTGCCACCTTCATCACACAGAGCAGCATTACTTCCTCAAGTCACTTGATGTAGGCCTCCATGTTGAGTCTGTGTCTCAGTAGAAAGATGAATGGAGGCATATCATCACCATCACTAGTGTTCACTGCAAAAACCTTCGTAATCACCATTAAACTCATCCTACTCTTTCCGAATCTTCTGTGCTGTCGTCAAATTGACACCTAACCACTCTGAAATATTGGAGTTTCCAGTGCAAATACCAAGCAGTACAGTATGCCGTTTCCAAATTTCTGGTAGAGTGAATTAAGGCATGGTGCTGTTTTTTCTCGCAGATGGTGCCCAATTGACCCTACTATACTGTGCAGTTAGCAAAATTAAAAGCAAACAATGTGCACGCGCAAAATGAAAATATAAAATGGCGACAATTTACGCACCACACTCTCTCTGTGTATATGTGGGTGGTGTGTGTATATATATATATATATATTATATACACACACACACACACACACACACACACACACACACACACAAAATAGCCCTGCCTTATATATTCCAAGACCTAGTGGATGCCTGAAATCATGAGTCATACCAACCTTACATTTACTTTGTTTTGTTCTTTTGTTTATATGCATACATACCTATGACATCAGCTCTTGATGAATTTATCTGGGATATATGTTGTAGAATTGCTTAAAGAAATTGTAAATTTTTCTTAGTATTTTTGCTCCTAAATGGTTTGTCAATTTACTTTACATAGGCTTTGTGTAATTATTGATGTTTGATTTTGGTGGCCAAAATTCCTCTTTATAGTTTATTATTTATATATAATTCATATAGAACTTATAGTGTGTGTGTGTGTATATATATATATAAAATTTGAATGAGAAATATCCTTAAGAAGCTGATTGATACATGATTATTTACTCCTAAAAAAAAAAGAAAGAAAAAAATAATTTTAATATATATCTCCTGTTTATCTTTTTTTTGTCTCCAGTTCTTTTATTATTATTATAGATTTGTTGTCATGCTTCTTCCTACCCCTTCCACTTGTCCTTCATCAGATCAATGCATGATGGACACTTTATGTTCAAGGCTAAAGCCTTGTCACCTGTCCTGCTCCAACTCCTGATTTTTCTTCTTCTTCACCCTTACATTTGGTCATTTCTTCTTTTCTTGTGGTAGTTGTAGTGATCAACTCTCTTCGGGTGGTGGCCAACTGACATGTTCAGGCAGATTTTTCCTATTTGTAGCCCATCAACATGATACAACTTGTTCTACTATGTACTGTTAGTCATTAGAACATATAGTATATTTATTAGCATGTTTGTCAGTACTGCAGCACAAGTGGACTTTTTTGAATACTACTAACATTTGAAAATTTTGCGGGATATTTTTATCCCTCAACTTCTATTAAGTCTGTTGATATATAATGATCAAAGTTGAAGAAAGTAGATATAGGTTCCCAGCCTACCAGGTGAGTAAATGATCATTGGCTGATATCTGATTGCCTTTTTTTCCCCTCCTCCTCCTCTTCATATCTTAGAATAGTCAGGTGTCACAAGGTTGGAAAGATGTGGCATCAAATAGCTTTCTATCCATTTCTCTGCAATATAATGTAACCATTTATTTTTGTATGTTTTCCTTTTTTTTTGTCAGTAGTATGACTTTTTTCATAACAGATTGCTTCTTTTTTAATTGTTTAATATAACTGTTACAATAGCAGCACTCTAAAGATTAGTGTTTTTCTCTTGTATTTTATTGTTGGTGTTAGGTGAGTAACTCACATGTAAGGGTCGGATCAGGTCAAAATTGTTGAAGGAAATTAATAAAGAACCAGAAAAAAAAAAGATGAATGATTTTTATTTTGTCTTTTAGTTTATTAATACTGTAAATTAATTTAATTTGCATTAAATTCACTTATTGAAATCTGGAATATAATTTTGATGACAGCTGATATGTTTGCAATGCATTGCCTTTTTTTTTTCTTAATTACTATTCTTCCAAATGGATTTAGCACCAAATAAATTATTTTCTGCTGGTTTGCTCTTTTCCCAATATTGTGTACATATTTATAATCTCCCTTTCTATACCATGTTAATTTGTCATTGTACAATGTGTATAGCAGCTTTTTGCTCTTGCTACCAATCTTATCAGGTGTAAACACAAAACATGTGCTGTTGCTGTCTGCCATCAAGCCAACCTGTTACTATAGTGATTAGATAATGAGTCATTGACCCTCAGATGGTTTATGCAGTGGCCTATTTAAAATACAACCACTGTTCAGGTGTCAACAGCAGATTGTCAATGTAGCTTGTATGTTTTATTGATGAAAGATTTCTTATTGACATTGAATAATCACTCATGTAATAGAGTAAAACTCTTATTCATTGAAATTATTTGGGATTCAATAATTTTATTTTCAATGAATTGTATTTTTTTTAACATTATAATTTTCATTTAAAACTTGTCAGATTATCTCAAAACACAAATGAATTGTAAGCCATGTGATGTATCAGTTTGCTTATGATTGATTTCAATATACAAGTGGAAAATGGCCAGCAAAGCTTTTGTCTTGTTTTAACAATTAGTAATTTTTTTTTTATAATTAAAATCTCGGAACATTTCAGAAATATATTTAAGAAAAAATACAACTGTTATTTGATACAACACAATTTCTGTTGTTTACTTAATATCCTGAATAAAGATGATTATCAAAACATGTTATGTATACAGTATTTAAAATAAAATGATTTCTGTTGTATACATGTGCAAAAATTTTGAATAATATTAATTCTATCGAAACAGTTTAAAGAATTTTTTGTATCTAAATATATGAAAACTAATAATCCCCTCTCTCTCTCTCTCTCTCTAATGCTTGCCTAATTTTATTACTGAATTATTTAGTTGTTGATAGACTTGTCTTTGTGTGAGTGTGTGCTTTAGGTGTGAAAATGAAAGAAGTTCAATTGATTTAAAATGATCACAAGAAATAGGAATAAATATTTTAATTTTTCAAATAAGCTTAAAACTTGTAATTGGAATATATGATATTAATTATTAATCTTTTGCCAGTTTCTCTATAAACATATATAAATAATTAAAAAAGAAAAAAATCAACAATTGGTTGTCGTTGATTGTCTGCTTGAAAATGATGCTGTCATATCCTTGATCCCTAAATAGCAATTGGCTTGGGATTTGTTTATTGATTTCATTGTGTTTGGTGGTAGAAAAAAAAGGACTAAGGGAAGATAGTTCTTAGTAATTGTACCTGCTTTATGTGATTCCAAGTTGAAAAAAAAAAAAAAATCATTATTTTTTTTTTGTTTTTTTTATACTTGTTTCTATTAAATTGACTAATTACTTGTATTTTCTTCCTCATGATTCTTGTACTGAAATATTTCATTTTTACTAGTTTCTGAGCAATTATCTATTTTTAATAATGCTGTTCTTTCACATTTTTTTTTTTAAGTTGAATCCAATTATTAGCCAAATTCCAGCTCCTTTGGCAATTGCTGACAACCAGAATAATTCCCTTGTTAACCACTGTCCATATGAAGAAATGGTGAGTATAAATTTTGTTTTTGTTCACTTTCATTCTTTCAGTGTACTGCCACACATGATTCTTAAGTCAAATGATTCAATTGGTTATGTCAACTCATAAAATTATATCAATAGATTTTTTTTAGCTTACTCATTAGAATAACTCTAAAAGTTGTAACCTTTTTTTATCAAAGTATTTTATGCTTATTTTATATTTAGGCTACTTTTGTAACATTTTTACATGTTATGTTTTTATTATGAATATCTTTTTATTTCAAAAATTTTATGAATTTTAAAGTTGAATTGTGCAGTAACAAAAATTACAATGAAGATTTTAATTATGTGTCATTAAGTTAGTTGTGATCTGATTACTAAAAATATCTTTGTGGTTTGATATTCAAGCTTTTAAGGAATTTAGCATAGGGTCTTATTGTAAAATAAAATTCTATTATTTTTTTTTAACAAAATTTAAATGAACTGAAGCCGTTTGTATATTTCTTCATCCTTTGTTTATTATAAACAATTTTATTTCTTTAGCCTGTATCATCGACTCCATATTCACCTCATGACCATGTACAATCTCCACAGCCATCTGTGCCTTCAAAGTATGTATACTGCTTTTTAAATTGATTACTATACAAATTTTGACTGAAACAATTATTCTTAAACTTTCTTTTTAAATAGAACATTTCTTTTTATGTTGTTTTTTTCTTTAATACTTTATCGTTGTGGATGTTCATTTCAAAATAGTGCATGACGACTTTTTTGAAGATTGATTTGATTCTTTAAAACACTTAATGGAGAATAAATTTTCATTTGCTTTCTAATTTTTCCTGAACACTTTAAAAAATTAGAAATATTTATATTTTAAGTAGTGTAGTTAAAAAAAGTTAAGTCCTAATATATATGTGTATATATATATATATATATATGTATATTCTGACTTGTAGCCTGGCTGATCTTACGCTGCTATTGTCTGTCAACTGCATACTGTATATTTTTACTGTTAATAAATTAAAAAGGTGAAAACAAGAAGTATTAAGTATTTCCATACTTAATACTTCTCGTTTTCACTCTCGTGTGGTCTTGTGTGACATTACAAGCTGCGATGCAATTTTCGCTTCTGCGTCTTGTATACATGAGTTTGTTGTTGCTTTGAAATTTTTCATGCAACAAAAATGGACTATCATTATTGTTTTGTCCGTGTATTGTTTGATATATTAAAATGTAGTTGTCATCTTTGATAATGGCTTGTGTTAGCTGAAAGGTTAGATAGGATTAAAACCTGTATCAATATGGTAATTTCCTTTTGTCTTTCAATGATTATGTTATTAAGCTTATCAAACAATATGAAAGGAACTTACTTAAAATAAATATACAAAACTTGTCTATATTATTTAATGAAACATTCATCTATATATATATATATATATATATATATATATATATATATATATATATATTGATGAATGTTGAAGTAGATTTATCTGTAACCATGGAAACGGGATTTTGGCTGTGTCTTTAAAACCCAGTAATTTTAAAAGTTACTCCAAAATTCGCTTGAGGATGAAATGAAACTAATGTCTTTAATTGCAAAATTAAATTCGTGGTTTTTAGCTTCCATTTTTGAAACATGGTTAGAACTGTGTAGCAGATAAAAAAACATATTTTAAATCAATTAATTTATAATATTAATGCTCTGTAAATTTACATTGAGCACTATTTTGTAAAAATAAAAATATCTATAAGAACACCGGATTATATATCTTACTGTTCTTTCTTTTTATTTAAATATATATATATATATATAATCACATACACTGTGGGTGTGAGAGAGTATTGGAAAATTCTCAACCCAACCCACTTCCCAAAGAACTTTCTGCCTCTAACTTGTGGGTTTGAAGATTATATTACCAATATTTTATTGAAAATTTTAAAGAAAATTATTTACATCAATTACATGAAGCTAAATGTTGATCTTAAATTTTCATTGTATAATCTTTCAGTCTATGCGATTAATATGCACCACTGAATTGGCAAGATTATGCTGAAAAATATTTGTATAAAATGATTTTGTTCTTCATTATTAGGCTATGGATTTACTGATGCACTTATGTATGTACCACTGAAATAGTTCTAAAGTTTTTAAAGTGTGTGTGTGTGTGTGTGTATATATATATATATATATATATATATATATATATATATATATATATATAAAAATGAAACTGTCTATCATTGATATCCAAATAGTCTTTTAGTGCCGGAAATAATTTTATCTGGTGTCCAACTTTTGTTTTTCAGTATCAAGTATCCTGGAGAATATCAGTTTGAAATTTCATTCGCTCAACCTTCAAAAGAAACCAAATCTACAACCTGGACTGTAAGTATAAAGTCACTATTACCACCTAAATTATTATTTATTGTTTGTGCATGATTTTTCTGCAGGCATGAAATATTTTACTTGTAAATAGTAAAAACAAAAAAAAAACCTCCTTGATAACTTTTAAAAATATTTGTTATAGATGTGATTAATCTAGTTATCATGGAGAAAACTATATCAAACTGGCTTTGAAAGTTGACTTTATTTTATTCCTTAATATTTGTATATGCAATAAGAAATACTTATTGAGTAACTTTTTTTTAGTTGTTTTTGAAGAATCATAAGTTAAGCTCATTAAAAAGAAAAATTAAATTTAAATGATTCATTAATTGTAACTCTGTATATATTTTAAAGGCTTACAGCCATATCATGTTGCAACATCTGTTCTCGTACAATCACCAAAGTTAAGCAACATCAAGCTTGGTCAGTACTTAGAAGGGTGACTGACCACTTGGGAATATCATGTATTGTAAGTTTGGATGTATGATGGTAGGAGGTGTAATGGATAATGGGTTGGAATTGTTAATTGGATAGCTGAGTTCCAATTTAAGTTGGTTTTGTTATATTCACTTATGCATAAATACCATTGGGGAAAAGTTATGAATCCATGTCTTCTCCCCTCCCTCGTCTATGGGTTAATTTGTAAGACTTTTATCACTAAATCATTATCTCAAAAAAATAAAAAATCTTTTCTGGTTTTAAATAGCCTGCAAAGATTTTATAAACTGTAGAAAATGAATCCATCAAGCATTTATTTTAAGAACTTCATGTTGGCTATAACTTTGTTATTAACAATGTTATCCAGACACTTGAATTCCTCTTTGTTACCATATTTTGGCTGACTCATTCTTCAGCCTTTTTTTGTGTGTATGTATAAAACGTAAGAGAAAAAAAAACAGGTAAATTTTCCTTCTTCCATCATTTCTTTCCTGATTATCCAGTTATGGAAGGGTGAAGAATGGATTAGCAAAACATAATATTGAAAGCACAGAGCTCAATTTTCTGAACAAAAATTTGAAATTTCATGTTTTAAGTTTTTTTGTTTTTTTTTCCTTAGAAGAAGCATTCACATGAATTTAATCAATTCTTTTCAACTTTTAAGATTTTCATTATCAATATAAATTTTTAAAATACTTTTATGATTAATTATTTTCATTTTTTTTTTTTTTTCGCTAGTATTCTGAGAAACTAGACAAATTGTATGTAAGGATGGCTACTACATGTCCAGTTCGGTTCAAGACAGCACGACCACCTCCCTCTGGTTGTCAGATTCGAGCAATGCCAATATATATGAAACCAGAACATGTCCAAGAAGTGGTTAAAAGATGTCCTAATCATGCTACAGCGAAAGAACATAATGAAAGTAGGACATCTTTTTATCTTTTGCAAATTTTCAATAACAAGCTTTTCTTAGTTTTACCATTTTTTTTTCTTCTGTTCTGAAAAATAATCTATATTTTTTCAAATTTTTGTCAATTAATATTTTTATTTTCAAATTTCAACATTTTGTTTTGAATTTCTTTTTAGAACATCCAGCTCCTCTTCATATTGTTCGTTGTGAACACAAACTGGCAAAATATCACGAAGATAAATATAATGGGAGACAAAGTGTTCTGATTCCACATGAAATGCCACAAGGTAAAAGGATTTAACTTCTTCAAAAATCTGAAATAATTTTCTAATAAAACTTTCCTGTAGAGATGATGGTAAGGTTTATATAAAGTGGATGAGAATCTATCAGGAAGTGTTGAAAAGTTCTTGGCTGAACACTTCTATGAAATCATTCTTCAGATGTTAGGGTCATTGAAAGCCTGATTTTTGCAGGCTGAGAATTTTTCACCACTTATAATAACTTATTCTATCCTTCCTCTGACTATTTGGTTGGTATTTACAAATAAATGTGTACTATGCATCAAGTGGGGTAAGTTTTGTATTGTACTGATAGATGAGGGCAGTTGAACAACAAATTAAATAAATGATTTTTACTTGTTTCTTCAAATATTGAATTGTCCAGTTTTAGAACTCCATGATTCCTTGTTAAACAGATTGATCAGTTTTTATTGAACAGAAAATAACTTTCTAAGAATTGTTTATCTCAAAATTAATTAATCTCATATTTAGAATTACTTTTAGGATATCATAGCACCTTTAGAATGCAGAATGCATGGTTACCTTATTGAAACATGTCTTTTTATATCATTGTGCCCAAGCAAGGCAATAAAGCCTGTAAGATGCAGGTGGGTTACTAAGTGTGAAAGAATATAAGAAAAACATTATTATGGAGCAAGAACAAATTTTAATTGGAGATAACTATGCACCAAACTTTTTTTTTTTTTTTTTTCAGAATATCAAATAGAAAAGAAATGTAATTATAACCACCACCTGTGGAGTTGACAGAAAGAGTATCATTTTTATTGCAATAAGCTACCTGAGTATTTAAAGTTTAGCAAATGTATGTAGATTTAAAAGAAATTTTGATGGATTCTTGGTATGAAAAGTGGACTGGTTAATATTGGAAGCTGTCAGAAAAAGAATTATAAAAAACAATTTTATTTTTTATTTTATTTAATTTTTAAAGAATTTTTTTATTTCATTTTTCTGGGTTTTTTTTTTTTTTTTTTTTTTTGTTTTTTAAGGTGTATCATTGAGATGCTTATAGCAGCATAAATAAATAAAATACATATTTCATATATTACCTGTAATAACTATTATGACATAGATGTACTATCAATTATCATAGTTTGGATCTTGCTTCAATTTGTATTAATATTGATAGTTATTTGTTGTTGTATTATCACCACCTCCTCCTCCTCTTGGATTTGTTTATAGATATAGGTATCTACCTTTGTATATATATATACTCACAGTTATCTTTAAAAAAAACTTGATAATAACCTTTCTGCTTCTTATATTTGAATATTCGATTGTGACCAATGTAGGAAGACCTGCAATAGTCATGGAGTAACTCCAAAAATCTTTATTGGTCAAGTAAAGCTATAATAATAATATTGAAATAAATTATCAACATACTTGATAGCAATTGTGAGATGATTTTTTTTTTTTTCCTTGAATTATTTATGTTGGTAATATGAATAGTTTATCTTCTGTTTCAAGGAGAAAAGCAAATTGAATTCCTTGAAACTACTTTATATTAGTTTCTGTATTAAGTGTAAAACTTTTACAAATTTGTATTAAATAACTTAAGAACCTAATTTTTATGAATTTTAGTAAAATTATTTGAAAATTGAAATTTTATATATAAAGTATTGATTTTAAAAAAGAATTTTGATTCCTAACTTCTATTTAATCTTATTTTTAATTTTAATTTAATATTTTAATTTTAATTTAATATTTTAATTTTATTTTCTTTCTATTTGCAGCTGGTTCTGAATGGGTTGTAAATTTATACCAGTTCATGTGTCTCGGTTCTTGTGTTGGTGGCCCCAACCGGCGGCCTATACAATTAGTATTTACCTTAGAAAAAGAGTATGTACTTATAATTTGGACATTTCTTTTTAATATTGAGAATTTAATTAATTTTTTTTTTTAAGTCCCATTTAAGTTTAATGAAAGTTTTGAATTTCATGTTTATTTATTTGAATGTATTTAGCTATTGAAATTATTAAACTGAAAAGAGGTTGAGTTTCTTTTGAAATGCCTATGTAGGTACCTCCAAAGATTTGCTAAAAAAGATGAGCATACATGATAAAAAAATCCCCAAACTTAATAAAAACAATGTTATATCAAAATCTTTGTTATTATTAAGAGGAAAGACCAAAGTATTTTTTGATTTTTAAATTATATTTCTTAATTCTTTTTAGAACCTTGAAAATTTTGGCTAAATTTTTTTTTCTTGCGTCAGTGAGTGACCACATTAGTATATGAAATTTTAGCATCTTTTTGCAATGAAGAACATTGATTTGGAAATTCTTGCAAAAATCAAATAATTGTTGGATTATAATGAAACTTCCAGGACTGATTTACAAATGAATGAAATCATTTTAGAGATTTTTTCTTTTTTTATAGAAAATCTTGGTAAAAATATATATTTTTTTTATATCTGTTATCCACACTTACTTAATTTCATAAAATTCATTTTGATATGGCTTAATGTTATGACCTTGGTGAATCTAAATAATTTTTTATTTTGTAAGATTTGAGATTTGTAAAGATATACTTTTTCTCTCTTCTCAAGCAACCAGGTTCTGGGCCGAAGAGCTGTTGAAGTGCGGATATGTGCCTGCCCTGGACGAGACAGAAAAGCAGATGAAAAGGCTAGTTTGGTTTCAAAGCCTCCAAGTCCAAAGAAAAGTAAGGGAAATTTTGTTAATCTATTAACATTGTTGATACATTTAGCTTATTTTAGACTCTTAACAATTTTTATAAATAAAATTATTTACAAGGATTAACAACTTTAAAAAAACTGAATTTAGTGGTTACATAATAATAAAGATCTTATTAGTTCAGTTGGTAAATATTTGATTGAAAAATCAGATCAAAGTCAGTTATAATTTTTTAAAGTGTTCATTCATAAGAAATATATTTTTTTTTTTTTTTTTTTTGTATCATTTGAAGGTATTCTAATAACATTTGGGGATTGTATATTGCTTAACTTTTAAAGATGTGTTGATTGAATTCTAAAACAAAAAATTCAACAAATCTGAATTTTAATAATGGATATTCTTTAAAAATTATAATTTTAATACTTGCTTTGTTTGTAGTTGAAAAACAATGTTTTGTAACTTGATTTGAAGTTACCTATCTCTTGCTTTTTCTTTTTAGATGGTTATCCACAAAGATCTCTCGTTGTTACAAACGACATTACAAAAATTACACCTAAAAAGAGAAAGATTGATGATGAATGCTTCACATTAAAAGTAAGTCTTTTCAGCTTTTCTGAGCAAAAGAATCAAAACATTAAAAGAACTTTATCTTTTTAAGAATATTTAAATTTTGTTTGTGGGAATTTTTTCAGTGGATTTTAGTCGTGCTGCAAATTAATAGAATAAAGAAGTAGTAGTTGTAGTAGAGCTAAATTCTACCTGTAGAATTTTCTCTTTACAGTTGTAAATTAAAATGTTCTTTTCTGAAATGTTATGAAATTAAAGTAAAAAAAAAAAATAACTTGCAGCAACTGTAAGACATTGACTATTAAAATAATGAGTTAACCAAATTAGGAATCAAGCATATCTACCAAAATAAAAAAATTAAAAGCATTTATAATTATCACATTCTGTGTGAAATATTTGTTGATTTTCAATTCTTTTATTTTAGTTCCTGATGATAGCATAAAATACCTTCCTTTGCTATCTGATCTGGGGAGTGCATTCCTCTTTACTCAAATTATATGTGAAAAACAAGTCTTTAGAAACATCTGTAAAAAGAAAAACTTTAATAATTTAATTGATTTTTAGGTGTGTCAACAAAGTTTATAATAGAAGCAGCATCTATAAATTCATAGCATTTTAGGTAAATGTTACCATTGAGTTATAATTTGATTTCTGCAGTAACAAATCATTACTTCTGATATAATCCTAGTAAATAAATATATATATATATATATATATATATATATATTATATATATATTATTTAAAGGCACAAACTCTTAAAATTTAATGAGGTTATATTTATTTCATTAGGGTCATAAAATGGCCCCAATTAATAATAATTATTGCTCTGTCTCTGACATAGAGCTCTTCCTGGATTTATATCTTTTTGGAAATATCCATACTGATCACTAATATCATCATTTTTTATATATATATATATATATATATATATATATGAATATATATAATATATAATATTTTTACGAGACAATACCAATATCTAACAATTCTTGGTATTGTTTTAAATTTTTGTTATGGATACCTAGTGATTAAAATTCATTATTTTCAGGTCCTACAGTTGGTTTTGGAAACTTAATGAACAAAGTACATTTATTAATAAAACATTTAGAAAAATGAATACAAAAGCTTATGAAATAAAGTTAGATATTTTTTCTATTTAAGAAAAAAATTGGGTAAAAGTTTAAACAATAGACATATTGATTAACTTTGGTCATCATCAGAAATCTTTTAAAAAAATCCAAACTACACTTTTCTGCTTGGCATTGGATCCACTTGCCATAATTGGGGTCTGAAAATAAGAAACATTGGTTAAAATTTACATTTTTTGCTGTTGAATAAAAATGTTTCTAGTATCCTGATATGTATAATTTGTAAAGATTCAACTTATAGTTTGTTATTAATTGTAAAATAAAAAAGTCTAATTTTTGTCCACCTTTATATATTTTAACTTTTAACAAGCAAAGGCACCCTCTAAATATAATCTCTTTAAAATTTTTATATGGCATTTTACAATGAATGGGGCAAACTTAAGAGTGACTATTCAATTTCAGTATGCACTTAAAAAATAAGAGAAACCCTAATATATATATATATATATATATATATATATATATATATATATATATATATATAAGCAACAATAATACTTAAGCTAAAAGGCATCATCCTATGTATTGAGGTTTAACTCATGCATATATTTTGATAAAGTACAAGGAGTACCTAATCCTGCAGGACAGTGAATAAAAAAATAAATGCAAATTTAAAATTTCCTTACAGACAATTAATAAGAATTAAATATGAATTATCACATAAAAAATAAAGGGTCTTCAATGTTATCTAAAAAATTTAATCATTAATAAGTTTTACTGTCTAAAATAAATTTCTCAGAATTAAAAAATTTAATTTCTAAAAAGAATCAAAAAGTGTTTTATTTTTGTTAAAAGAAAAAAAGAGTAAAAGTGCAACAACTGTAAAAACATATCCTTTGATTATTTTTTTATTTAAGAGATATAAGCAATTTTAGTAAACTTTACAATAAATTTTAAAAAAACATTTGGAAGTTGAAAGCTAAATAATGCTGATATTCAACTTGATCATTTTATAAGGCATGAGATTCAACTGTTAGAAAGCATTTAAATAAAAATAAAATTAAAAATGATTAAAATCTTCATAAAGATGAGGACAAATGTAAATGTGTATTTTTTGCATGGTTCAATTTTCTCAGTTATTTATTAGATTATCAGAAGATAACATTTTACTCGTTTTATTTTAAAAAAAATATTAAAATAAATCATGTTAAAAGTGGAAAAAAAAAACATAGCTTAATCACGCCAGATAAAAATGGAATAAAAATACTTGTTTTTAACTTTTTTTTTTATACACTTCTACTTATAAAACTTGCGTATTGTTTAACCTCAAGGAAGAATAAATGAGAAAAAAGTTCAAAACATTTTAAATGCCATAATAATTTAACACAGGAAATTTCAATTATGCCAAAGAAAAATATTAGTAAAATAAAATTAAATACAATTTTTGATGGAAATTAAATTTTAGGTTTTTTTAATACAAACTTTTGTGTGAAAAAGCTTTTTTTAGGAAAAATATAAAAGTTTATTTTTTTAAGTAAGTAAATAAAGAGGAAAATCTGTTTTGAAAGCTATAAAATTTTAAGAACTACATGAATTTCCTGAAACAAATTTAAGTTTCATAAAAAGAATGTTTACTTTTTTAAGTTCCAGTTATTTAAAAGATTTATTTTTCTTTACGTCATATACTATGTAAACAAAAATAAATCTTCTCAATAACTAAGACTAAAAAATGATTTCATGGATTAAAACTATTATTAAAACAAATTTTTATCATTTAACTGCCTCACCATGAGGACAATTTGGGACACAAGGTTAATTTTTTATGTGAAGAAATTAAATGTGACATAAATGCCTATCACCACCCTTATATGATCCTTTGGATTAAGTGCAGATCAAAACTCCTTATATGGAATTATATTTTTAATGTCTATGTAAGAATAATTGAAAATTTTAATTTTAAAATAAAATTTTATATAAGATTCTTATTTTTTTTTTTCTAGGTTTTTAAGTGCAGAAAACGCTTTGTTTCCTTTTGTAAATTAAAAAAAAATAATTGTCTTAGAGCTTGGTAGAACAACATAAATTAATTTTGTGTTTATATTACATCATTTTGATTATAATTATTAATAATTTATAATAAATGTGTGAATTAACAATGTTTAAAAAGAAATTAAAAATGAAAATTTTATTTTGAACTGAAACAGACTTAAACTAGTGAACTTTACAGAAAGTTAAAAAAAAAAAAAACAGTAGAAACTTGCAGATTTCATATTTTTTTTCTTTAGACAAGTAAAATAAATTTACATCATACTTATGAGTTGTTATAGTCTATAGATCTTAGTTTTACTAATAGTTTAATATCAATAAATATTTATATCTCTTTATCATTTGTACCAGGGACAGAAAATTAAGTTTGAAACAAACAAAAAAAATCCCCAAAATCGTTTTTGTAATCTGAAATTAGTTTAAAAATTTATGGATCCCGATTCCCCCAAAAGTACCGACATTTCCAATTCTCAATTCCAATTAATCGTCCCATCGCTATTATAATATATATATATATATATATATATATATATATATATATATATATATGTATGTATGAATGACTGAAACAAAAACGAATTTTACATGTAAATTATTTTTTCTTATAAAGAATATTAAATCAAAAGCACATTGCCACATCTTTGTTTATGTAAGGCATTATGACATTATCCAATTCCTTCTCTTTGCTTGTGCTTATAAAATTACAATATGAATAATGAAAATATTTTATTCAGTAAAAAAAGAAATGAATTATTTTATATCTTTACCTTTCATTTTATTTCTGCTTTCAGGTTAGAGGTAGGGAAAATTATGAAATTCTTTGTAAATTAAGAGATACAATGGAATTAGCGGCAAGGATTCCAGAGGCTGAGCGCTTATTATACAAACAAGAAAGACAGTGAGTTCTTTTTTTTTTCCTTTCCCCCCTTCCTTTCCTCCTCCTCCTTTGTTCAGCATTTTGATGTTTTTTTTTTTTTTTTTTTTTTTTTTACTCAAATCATAAATTCAATTTATTTTAGTTTTTAAATGAAATGTTTATTTTTCAGGAGGTCTTTTTCAATTAAATATTTTATTTTTTCTGCTTGGTCAGTGTTATTTTCAGAAATATTTATAGCCTTTGACTTTCTTAGGTTGTTAGGTAACATGGTAATAAACAGGTTATCAAGCTATATACTTTTAGAGAAAATACAGGGTACAACAGAAATACCTCCTACATAATGCTAATACTTCAGCTAGATGAAAACACTGTTGCCACTAATGTCTTACCATTATGTGGGAGGTATATCTGTCAAACCCTATACTTTTGGAAGCATATATATAAAGTAACCAAATGTTCAAATTTTCCATAGTATATTTAGTCTATGAACAAATATAGTAACTAAAAGGGTTACATTTTTTTAAAAGTTTCTTATATTAATCTGTTCTTGTTCTTCACATAAAAGAAAGATAATCTCAACAGTCATTAGAACTTAAAAAAAAAAAAAGAATTTGGTTTAATCTCAAAGTCTAGTGCTTAAATCATTTTGGCAATTTTGGATTTTTTCACATTTTTTTTTTTTTTTTTTGACACATTTTTTGAATTCAAAATAGGAAGAAAAGCATTTTCAGTTGTCAAGAAATAATGCAAGAATTGTGATAATAATAGAATGTTGTATTTGGTATAAACAAATATTCTATGTCCAGTCTCAGAGACAGGGTGTATCATTTTACCTTGAGTTAAAGTTGCTTCACAAACCACAATAGAGATTAGTAAAATAACCTTTTCTCTTAAACATTAATCTAAATGTCAGATGAGAGTATGTGATGGGAAGATTTTCAAGAATAAAACTTCTTAAAGTATGTTAAGACTTATTAGTGAAAATAGACTAATGTAACGACATTTGATGACATGGTTTGAGGTTCACAACATTCATCCAGGATACCTTGACAATATTTCATGTGATATGATCAGCCTTTGATGCTTTTCTGTCAAATTTTAGGAATATCATTTAAAAAACAGATACATTCTCAGCCCCAATCTTGAAGCCTATATCAACTGGAGATCAATCAGGTATATCAAGGCTGATGTGGGAATGACACCTTGGCATCTACAACAGGATAAATATTAGTTGTTAAGCTAATATTACTGCACTACTCAACATCATTATTAAAATATAAAAATTAAAAAAGAAAGATTTGTTGGTGGGAGACCCATTTTATATGAAGTCTGAGAAATGAGTGACCAGACAAGCAGGAAATTAAAACCAAAGGAATAATTTGTATAACTATTTACACTAATGACCCCCATCTTTGTTATCACAGTGTTTCAATTGTTTTGCCCTCTGGCCTTCATCAGTTGTTTGTCAATCCAGGTAATGGAATGGAATTTTGAACTGAACTCTTGATTTTAATCTGAGGAAGTAGATTATTTTCATTCCACTGACCCTGCCTAGGGATAGTAGTAAATAAAAACTGGATGAAATATCACTAGACATGGTCAGAAGAATAAGAACTATCTACTCTCATAGATTAAATCAAGGGTTCAGTTCAAAATTCCCTGAAGCTTACCTGGATTGACAAGCACTTAATGAAGACCATTGGGCTCAATGGTCAGAACATAATAACAACAAAAATGGGGACATTATTCCAAGTAAATAATGGTAACTCTTCATCCCAGAAATTCTATAGAATTAATGTGCTTGGGTTATGTTCACTGTGCAATAGATAAATTGTAATCTAAATTATGCAATTATGATGTAAGGGGTGATGTGATCGCAGAAATTGTTGGACAGCCATGATGGAGGTCTCTTATTTGTGTGACATGGTGCAGAGTCCTGTTAGTAGCCACTCTATTTCTCAAGGGCAGAACTACCTCCTCAAGGGACTTGATGTAGGCCTCCATATTGAGTCTGCCCTGTGGAAAGATGAATGGAAGCATATTATCGCCATCAATTTTGCCAGAAATAGGATCTTCCAGCAGCCACCCTTTTTGACCCAGGAAGCACTACTTCCTCAAGACACTTGATATAGGCTGCCATGTTGAGTCTGAGCCCACCCCCCAACAAATTTGGGAGTTCTTTTCTCATCAGAATGATCAGAATGAGTTTTCCGAGTTGCCATACCTTCATTATCACCACTAGACTCATCCAACACTTTCCAGATCCTCTGTATTGTCCTCAGATGGACACCCATACACTCAGAAATGTTCATATTGGAGCTTCAATATGAACAAGCAATGAATGCCAAGCAGTACAACATGCTATTTCCAAATTTCTGGCAGTCAGTTATGTTGTGCTGACTGATGTTATATTCAGCACCTTGACTCCAGCGTTTCATTGGCCAACCTTTTTGTAATTGTCCAGTCCACTCATCAGGAGGTTTCAGCAATTAACTGCAGATTTTTTTCATTTTTGTTATTTTTATACTAAATTAAGACATAATTTATGCACTATTTATTGGTGTTAGGTTGTTTTTTTAGGTTGTTTTTTTGATTGTTTGTTTGTTTGTTTGTTTTTCTCCCCCACTTCTTTTTGTATTTGTGTGTGCGTATGTGTCAAATGCTGTGGTTATTTCTCCTTTGAATTATTTTTTTGTCTCCTTATCCTCTCTATCTCCTCTCCTTTAGCTCTGATTGTCAAAGATAATGTAATAATGTCATTTCTGTTATCACAACTTTTTGGTTATTTACGGTAATTCATTTTCTCAAATGTTCTGGGATAAGTTTGGAAAATGTATGTAAATTCCATTTTTTATATATTTCTTTAATGCCTAAATGGCAAAGTAAATATTTGTTTATATATCTACACTTATCCATTATTTCATTTTTCTTATTTAGTAATTAATAGTTTGTTTTTTACCTGGAATTGGTAGTATCTTAAGTATTGGGTATTAATTATGGAAGGGTAAGTTTATCACATATATCAACTCTACCCCGAATATAATTTCACACACATTACTAACCTGAGCTTAATGATTAAACTTTGAACAAGACTTAGTTTTTAGATGTTTGCAGCAAAATTTCTTTTCTCTTTGTGCATTAATTTTATTTATTTATATTTTACCGTACATTTTCTAATTTTTATTATCTAAACCAGGAATCCCCAAATGTTTAGCATTTCTTTCATTTTTTTTGGGTGTGTGTTCACACTTTTTAGGCCATTCACAGAAAGCTTGATCCCCTCATTGGCCCCAAACATGTATGAAAAATGTCATTTTTTATTTATCTAGGGGTAGAAATTCCTTTCCTTTTTCTACCATAAAATTCATTTTAGGTTTGTTTTTTTTTTTTTATTGTTTTTCTTTGTTTTTTTTGTATTTTTTTGTTTTTTTTTTATTTTTTTTTTTTTTTTATTTTTTTGTTTTTTTGTATTTTCTTTTGTTTTTTTTTGTATTTTCTTTGTTTTTTTGTATTTTCTTTGTTTTTTTGTATTTTCTTTGTTTTTTTGTATTTTCTTTGTTTTTTTGTATTTTCTTTGTTTTTTTGTATTTTCTTTGTTTTAATTGCTATTTCTCTTCCTATACTAGACATGTTTGATTCTATAATAATGGGAAAAAAACTTTATAATATAGGTAATAAGTATTAAAAATGAATTGAATTGATTGGCATCAATAATCGGAAAGTCAATTGTTTTTGATGAGTATTAGTAAGGGCATTTGTATCCGGTTGGAAATTGGTGAGTTTTAGTCATTAGTCACCATGATTTATTTATTGGCCCCCTTTTAACTCCCAGGCATTTATTGATCACTTGATGGGTCCAGACAGTAAACTAAAATTGGGAATTGATGTCAGTGTCATTTATCATGAGGGAATGATTCTGTCAAACTCTGAACTTTTTTTTCCCATTCCCATGCAAACAATTAAATATTTGATAATTTCACTTTCAGACTATTCCTAAATTTGGGTTTTGTAATCCTGCTATGCTATCTATTCAATAAATATCTGCATGTAACTTTTTCTTAATCCAACAGTCACCTGCTTGAAATCTGCATGCAATGAAGGTTGATTTTAACCCTTACTCTATCAAATATTTTCTACTTGCTTTTTTTTTTCCTCTCTCACTCTTTTTCTTTGATTCTGTTCCATTTGCCAATCTTTTTTGTTTTCTTTTTAAGAAACAAAATTCATTTTAATCATAAATCCTCTTTTGTTCATCCTTTGGTCTTAAAATAAAAATCCTTCCTTCCTTCAGATATTATAGATTTCAGATGAATTCTTGCAGGTGGCTGTCTGACAACTACAACATACCAGACACTAGCACAGGTGCAGAGACCTTGCGGAACGGTGATTCTCCTCCTCCTCATTCTCATTCTCCTTCTCCTCCTCCTCCCTTTATAAAGAAATTGATGAAGCCAAGCAAGCTCACTACTTCAGACAGGCATCTTGGACACAGCACACAAATCACAACAAATCTTGTCAATTAACAAAAAATAATACCACAATCCTTTATTTTTACTACATATTTATACATTACAAAAGACTTTATTCATCTGGTCATATGATCATTACCAATTGCTCATCATGTACAGGATTTTATACCTTTTAAATATAAACTTTGAATCAATAAAAAAAAAATCTCAAAGATATTTTTATATACTTTTATCAATATGCATTTGTATTGTGCATGTAAATTTATATAAAATAGATGGTGGGGAAAATCAGCCATTCAGTGAAGATTTTTTAAATATATTTGGTAACTGTCTGTCAAAAAAAAAAAAAAGAATCTTTAAATAGCCAGAGACAAAACTGGTTTAGTGGAATTTTTTTAATCTCAATTTATTTATTATACACACTTCATTGTTTGGGAAAGATGGCAATTGATATGTAGATGCCCTGTTGAAAAATTTAACATAATCTCTCATAAATATCTTAAAAACATTAATTTTTTTTATATTTTACATCTTAAAATTTTTGCTTATTTGTTTTCAATTTTTAAAATATATCACTGAAAAAAAAAATTTCTATTTGTTTATAGTTTACAAAAAAACAATCTTATATTTACCTTTATAGTAAACAGTGAGTTTGTTTGTTTATTGGTAAATGACAATGATAACAGGCATGAATTTGTCAGTTAAGATTGGAGTCATGGTTTATAGGTTCCTTTTATTTTAAAATTTGTTTGCCAACTGGGGATTGTGTGAATAGCTTTTTTTTCCTGTATTTATTTAGTGTGGCTAAAAGGTGATCATATTTTGTTTTTATAAATTAACTGCTACAGGTGAGGGAGATCTTGAAAAAAATTGTTTTTTTTTTTTTCATTGGTTGTATCAATTTTTATAACCATACTTACATAAAGTTCTTGAATTTAACTTTTATTCACTATGTATTCACTGCCAGTATTATTGTAAGTATTTCAAAAGACTTCATAAGAATTTCAGCAAATGACTTACAAAATTCTCATCACTGCCATTGATGGATTGGCATTTTTCTGACCATTCTTAATTTTTGTTTTATTCTGAAAAGTTGATTTCTGGTATTTCACAGTAAAGTTTTAACATTTATGACAATAAGCCATTTTCAATATGTGATTGAAAACTTGGTTATCACACATACACAAATTTTCAAACATGGGTAATCTCTCTTCTATCAGTAATTTGTTTTTTTATGTTTATAACAAATCCTGTAAATCAGGATTTATTTTGAACAACAATTTATGAATTTGTGCTATGTCATTCTTCACTTCAAATCTTCATTTTTAATTCTTGATGCAATTCTTAAAAATGACTTGATTGGTACATTTTTCTTATAGATCTATTGGACAAATAGATGTAATCTATTTCATATCTGCAGTCTGTAAATGCTAAGACAAACTAAAATAAAATTTTTACTATCTTAAAAACAGTTTCCTGGTTAGTTTTTAATTGTATTTATTTCATCTGAAATTGTCTTGTGTGTATTAATAAATATTGTTGGGGAAATCTGCTTTCATTTAACATTGAAAAACATTTTCTTCTGCCTCAGTTTTTTTTATATGTGTAAAGTTGATTTCATTGAATGAGCATTGTAAGTTGGAATAAATTTTGGATTCCATCATCCACCTTCCCACACATAGAATTTTATTATTATTAATTTCTTTATTTTAAGTACTTTTTTTTTTTTTTTTTTTAAACAAAAAAAAACATGTCTTATAAAAAAGTTAAACAGTTTTTTTTTTTTTTTTTTTTTTTAGTAAAATTGAACATATTTTGAAAAAAAATTGTACATATGTCAGTGTAAGTTCCTCTTCTTCACCATTTATATTTGACTTTTTTAATTTATAGAATGTAAATTTGGTTACTGCCTTAAGTATGCATGATATTGAAAATTTTTTTATTTCTTCATTATAGACAAATGATACAGTTGGACACTGTTTTGATTAATTAAGCTACATTCTAAAATTCTTAGAAATCTGGCCAAATAAATTTACAGGAAGATTCTTTTGTAAACCAATATAAAGACATATTGAAGAATCCTAAATAATTCTACTTTCTACTTAGACAATTAAACTCCCTTATTTTAATATGACAATGTTTTGGGTGATCCATTCTACAGCTTGTTTGAAGTTTGTTAGACGTGGAGCATTTATAATTGTTGTTGGTTTTAGCATTCATTTTCTCATCTTTCAGGGTGTTTTCTTTTTTTCCCTGACAATGTAAACTTTCTTTTCAAAACCTTCCTTGAGGAAGAATGGAGAATACTAGGCAAAATTCTAAGACATAACCATAAAGATGAATAAGTCCAAATCAACTATATATAGTGACCTTGCTACAGAATAGGTTCGTTGAAATGATGTAGGTATTAACAACACAAAGGGAGATTAAACAAACCTTGGAATATGTCTTCTACACTCAGTTAAATTGGCATCTAAGCTGTATAAATAAACCTGTCTATAAAAAGACTACTATAAATATGAAAATAAAGGTCTTATCTTCATTTAGTTTTTATTCTCTCTACTCCATTTTGTACAGTCATTTTAAAAATACTGCTTCCAGTTTTCAAAACTGATAGGTACTTAAAATGTGTATATGAAATTTTGAATTCCTTAATTTTAAAGAAATTGACTTTATATATTTATATACTTTTGTATTTTTATGGTTGAATTAAATATTTGAATTATTTCCAATCTCTTAAATGTTGCCGTTATTTGCTATAAAGCTGGTTTATTAATTGATGTGAAAATATCTTGATATGCTGTCAATAGCATGAATTTATTAGGAACAATATTAGGCATACAAAAGAAATATGTTACAAAATCTAAAGCATCTTTAGATTTTTATGTTTCATAAAACTTTGGAATTTCACTGTCACTTTCAAAATTGTTATAATTCAGATGAAGTAACAAGTGAATTAAATAGATTATTGCTTATGAATTTTAGAAAGATAAACTTAAATTAGAAATACAATTAACCTTTGTATATAAAGATGTAAACATTTTGACATCTTTTCATCAAAAGATTTTCCTTTACTAATGTTAGTTAATCAATTTCATTTCTTGTTCTAATTTAAATTTTTACATTTTCCATCGATGAAGATTTTTAGTCTTCCTTAATATTTTTATGCTATCAAGACGTTATATTTGCTGCCTATACAATTTATTACTTAGATTGTCTGACTCTAAAAAGCATACAGTATATAAAATAAATTTTTGTTTCTGGTTTATAAGAATGTATTGGAAATAATAGGAATCAAACCTGTTTAATATTCAGTTCCTTACAACATATTTGTCATTTAAAATTTATTGTAAATTTCTACTTTAAGTACTAGATATAGATAAGAACAATCCTCTTAACTGTACATGCATATTGTATCATAGCTGAAAATCTTTTGATGTAGTAGCGTTTAAAGATGCCAACAATTTTACTTTACCATGTCTTCCATTAAGTGATTGATTATAACAATTTGTTTTTCTTTGCTTTCTAACATTGTTGCTTTATCTGAACAAAGCTGGATAAATCTTTTCATTGGTAATAAATCATTATTAATCAACTGAACAGAAAGCAAGCTGAAAAATAAGATTGGGAGTTTTAATTTGTTTTCAACTTTATTGTATTTTTGCAATTTTACAAGCTTTGAGGAATGGGCTAAACAAAAGATGGTTGCTTAAATTAACTGATTAGAGGAGACGAGAAAGCAGAAAAAGAGTGTTAAGGTCTTTATGATGATTGATAGTCATCAGAATTTTTTACTAATGTCTTGTGTAGTAATTGTCTTTAATCTGTTAAATGCAGTTTAAGGATGAGTGTTGGTTGCAAAGGATTTTTTGGTTATGATCTTGGAAATGATGTACTTTTTAAGTCTGAACAATTTGTTCACACAAAAAATTGAACTTGTCTCACAAAATCTTATGTAATACTGACAAAAGAGAATTTTTATTGCTTAAAAAGAGGAATTCATTCAACACCTTCAAATATAAACCAGTGATTAAGCAATGATTGTTCATTTAACTAAGAAAAGGTTTGTCATTAGACAAAGTTTTCTTCCTGTAAATCTTGATGGTTGTGTCTTTAGTAATATAGCTATTGGTTGTTTTATAGTCCATATTGGTTAGATTATATGGTCCATAACATTTTCTTTTGACAATTTTAAAATGAAAATATTGCTTACCAATATAAGGTGCTGAAAATCTTTTGTCTTAGTCTGACCAAACATTGGGTTTCTTTTGGACTCCCTCTTTGGTCAGACAGCTTTTCAGAACCCCTGCATAGTTAATGCATTAATGTTTTTTTTTTTTTTTTTTTAAATTCAATATCAGTCTTTCAATGCAACTTAAAATTTAGATAATCATATGTTGGCCCTTGTCAAGGTTAACAATGGATGTGGCAACTTCTTATTATTGCCTGGATATTAGTTATGGGAGAGTGGTTTAAGTCCATATTCATCTGCTCTATTCTTCATCAAGCTTTGTGCCATGCCATAGCCAATTTCTTTTTTATTTCAATCAAGATATTTAGATAGATAACTCCCATATTAGCACAGACTTAAATTTAATGTGCAAATATTTTTTACAATCTGCACAACACAAACAAATTAAATTATTAGTGTTTTTTTTTTTGTTTTTTTTTTTTGTGCGATTGCGGGGGGGGTTAAGAAATATGTAAAATGACTTTACTGCTAAGTAATTGTAATTTAACAAAACTTATTTTTCATTGTTACAATTTCTACATTTTAAAGTGAGTGGAAAATAATGTTCCCAAATAAGAATTTTATATCAAGGAGGAAATTTGGTTAGGAAATTTATGATTGTCTGAATATGATATGTTGTACTATTCACTTGTGGATATCACATTTTGACAAAATCATTAGCACATTTAATACAATCTGCTGTCTGACATTTTTCCAATGTAAATGTATTAAATAAAAAGGTAAAAAATAACTTGTTCGTTTTTGCTTGAATAAAAATGCATTTTTTTCTTATCTATAGAACTTGTCAACTTGTATTTGTCTTTTTTTCTTTCTTTTTTTCAGTATTAAGTTCCTTATTTTATCTATTTTTTATAGTTATAATATTACATATAGTGACATAAAACCCCCTCCCCCAAATAAATTGGGGACTTGCTTTTGATGTTTTTTGTTTTTTTTTGTTAATTCTTATTATCAGTCCTCATTTCTTTTACTCGTGTTTATTTAATTCACTTCCATAAAGCTGATATTTCCTCATCAGTCTTCCAGTGAAAACATCTTTTTGCATTTTTTCTAAACTATGCAGAGCAATTTTCTGCATTCAAAATATTGATTTCCTTTCTTTTATATTTCATTAGCTAGCCTCATATAGTGAGCATACATTTCTTTTGACATAAATAAAACTGAAATAAAATTCAACATTAGTGGGCAGCAACACTTAGAATTTATAAATTAAAAATAAGTAAAAATGGTTAGTTTTAGCATTTTGGGATTTGAAAAATCTTGCTGCAAGAATAAAATGAAAAAAAAACCCTCCAATATAATATATATATATATATATATATATTTGTGTATTTGTAGCTTTTTTTTTTTTCTCATTCATTTTATTTTCTTCTTTTCTATTACAGCTTTTAGTTTTCATCTTTGCTTATATCCCCCCCTCTTCAGTATCTGTCTATATTTCTGAGATTAGGTATTATGTACACTATTTACATTATGGGACTATTATCTCATCTTTTGTCGCCATATTTATTTATTTCAGCCGTTGTATGCTCTAGCTTTCTTCAGGTGGTTGGAATGTCAAACTGAACCCTTTATTTCGCTCACTGGGGTAGACTGTTCTAGTTCCACGTGCCATGTCTAATGGATGTTAGTTATCAGTTATCTTCTGCTTAATTCCCTCTCCAAGTTCTCCAATGCCTTTAACATGGAGAGAGGAATTAACAGGAGATAACTGATAACTGACATCCATTAGATGTGGAACTAGAACAGTCTACCCCAGTGAGCAAAATAAAGGGTTCAGTTTGACATTCCAACCACCTGAAGAAGGCAGGAGTATACAACGGTCGAAACATAATAAATATGACAACAAAGATGAGGACAACAGTCTGAATAATATAAATAGTGCCACCCCCCTCTTCATGTGTTTAACTGCCAATATTTAATGTTTTCCAAAATTCTATTCTTTCTTGGCTGATTTATTTGGTTCTTCAGTTTCTATTTTGAGGAATTAGAAAATTTTTAACCATTTTTATTAAAATGCTTCACAAGCAACATATTTTGTTACCTGATTATGTAATGAAATGAACAACTTGTAAAAAAAAAAAAAAAAAAAATTATTATTAAATGAGTGAATAAACTTTCTACTCATAAATGTTTAATATTCTTTATATATGAATGTTTGATTTTTTTTTTTTTTTTTTTTTTTCTCTGTTACCATTCTAAATTTGTTAAAAGCTATTTTATTTTGAAACTTGAGGATCACATAGTGATTTCTTAAAATTATTTCTTGTCTGAGTTAACTTAATTTTAAAGTCATTTTAAAGTGTAAATATTAAATGAATAATCAAATTGGCATTAAATATTTTATGTAATAAAATTTAAGTAACTTGTGATATCATAGGTAGGCTCTCTGGCAAATATGTCGGAGCAAATATTTACGCTAAAGAATAGTGTGAGGTGGGCAATTGAAATTAAACCTGCTTATATTTTAATACTGACTATTTGAAGCTGGTATTAGTTAATAAGATTTTAGCTTTTCATATTATTACCCACTGACTTTACATCTACACCAGCATATTTCTACTTGCTTTTATTTTCTCCAACAAATGTTTCAGGTGATAAATAGTGGAGGAGAAAATGGACAATCAATCTTTTACTTCTTTAATGGCAAATTTTTGGAACTTTTGACTTAAAATTTGTTTCAACAAGAAAGTGATTGTTCGTGATCAGAAATTAAAGTATTAACAGATTCGTGTTAATCTTGTATTTATCCTTGAAATTCATAACAGATGCTGTCATTTCAGCCATGCATAACTGATTACATAAGCTTGCTGAAGATGCTGCAGTAATTCTATGACTATAACAACTAAGATTATCGATTAAAATGGCTTTTCTCTTCTGTCAACATTTGTTTCTATTTTCTCTTTTTCTCTTGCTTCTTCCATTTTCTCTTCACTCTCTTTATCTGAATTCTATAAATATATAGATTTTAGCTTATATAAAAAAAAAAGTAAGAAATGCTGAAATACATATTTTACTGCATATTGTTATTTTTCTCTCTCCCTAAAGAATTTTCATGCCTTTCCAAACCACTACTTTTCAATCTTTTGCACATTCTCTTGATATCAAGCATGCAAAACTGTTTCTTCTTTCTTTTATCTGTATTCCTCTCTCCTTCCCTCCCTCCCTCCATATACAGGATGTGATGGGCAAATTGTCACCAATTTATATTTTTAATTTCACACATGTGCATGGTTTGTTTTTGATTTTGTTGATTACACAGTATAGTAGGAAGAGTTGGACACTGTCTCTTAGTAAAAGAGCACCATTACACACTTCACTCTGCCAGAAAATTTGGAAATGGTAACTACTGCTTGGCGTTCATGCCAGAAGCTCCAATATGAACATTTCAGAGTGTGATAGTGCAGAGGATTTGGTAAGAGTTGGATGAGATATCCAGTCAATGTCATAGTGTTTGGAGTGATCACTAGTAATGGTGATGTTATACCTCCATTCATCTTTCCAAAGTGCTTCAGACTCAATATGAAAGTCTGCATCAAGTGCCTTGAGGAAGTAATGCTGCTCTGGGTCAAGAGAGTGGCTACTGGAAGACACTGTCTGATAACAGGACTCTGCACCATGCCACACAAGGAGGAGAACCTAGTCATGACTGTCAGACAATTTCTACAATCGCATCCCCCCTTATATCTGGTCACCTTACTTCCCAGACTGCAACACCCTTGATTATTATGTGTGAGGCACAGTTTAGCGAGAAACCAACAAAACTCCTTGTAATAGCAAAGATGAACTGAAGTCAATGATTATGGCAGCATTTACCAACTTAAACAAGGAGACAGTCCAGAAAAGATGCAGGAGATTCCAAAGTCTTGTAGAAGGCATGGTTGAAGTCAATGGCAATTTTTATTGATTAAATTTACTCTTTTGTATTTCAAGATATTTTTGTGTATGTTGGTAAATATGTTGAAATGAGATATCCGTGTTATTTTCCTTATTGTGTAATTTAGACAACAATCTATCCATCACACCTTGTATAGTAACAATAAAGTTAAATGTTCAACTTACCTTCCTGACTTAGAGTTTCACAGACATGGTGCTTTCTTGTTAGGGGGTTTGTTAGTAAAATTGAATTTACTTACAAAAATCATTTCTTAAAGATGTTACTCAGTTTTTCAAAAAAGATGTTAATTTTTTACATGAAATTATTTCTTAAAGACGTTATTTTATGATGTAATCTAATATGAAATTGTTCCGTTACATGTATTAGATAAATATATATAAGACTGTGCTATTAAAAAAATAAGTCAGCCAATGTATTTCTAAAGGATAATGCTGTTCATAGCCTATACAGACATTACCAAACATCTACTTTGTTATATGAAACCAAATTTTTATATATATATATGCACACACACGATACAGCAGAAATAACTTTCACATAATGGTAAGTTATTAGTGGCAATAGTGTCTTCATCTACCTAATGTTTTACCATTATGCACAAGGTGTTTCTGTAGTACCCTGTGTGTGTATGTATATATATATTTCACTATATTTATTAGGTATGGTAGAGTGTTATGAATAATATATTTGTAGATATAAACAGTATTGTCACAGAAATTAACACTGTATAGTAACTGTTAATTTTACCTCTCAAGTGATCTTCAGCCCAGGCAGGAAACTGATAGTCATCATGTAATGTTCATTTCTATGACATCACACACACACACACACACACATGTACTTTTCCTCCACCCATTTTGCATGGTTTTCTTTTCATTTTTCTCTTGCTTACTTTATTCACATTCTTCCCTACTTCTCTTCTCCCCGAGTTCCCCAATCTCTTCCTGCTTTTGATATTATAATGTAGTTTTCTTGATCAGTAAGTATAACTGATTCATTAACTATTGGAAGAGTTAATGTTTGGGTAGATAATACTTTTGTGCGTGTGTGGTTTTGATTGATCATTCTACTAAATCAGTTCATTTAAAATGCATTTGCTCTCCAATGATTTTTCATTGAGTTTGTCAGGTATCTTTTTACATGAAAAATTTTGTATACTTGGTTTTAACTTTTTAGATGTTTTCATTGTTTTGTCTTTGATATTCTAGTTTGTTTTTTTGTTTTTTTTATTTATTTATTTACACTTTTTTCTTTTTCTGTTTTTTTATAGAGCTTTGCCTGGTCGTTTGACTTCAATTCCTAGTAGCAGTTCAAATAATTCTCAAGATGGCAGCCGCTCCTCTACCACTTTCTCAACATCAGAAAATAGTCAAGTGAACAGTTCTCAAAATAACAGCCAAATAGTCAATGGACAGCAAGTACCACATGATGAAGAAACTCCTGTCACTAAATGTGAACCTACAGAAAACACCATTGCTCAGTAAGTGAAAAATCATTGCTGAGTGCAATTATAAAGCTTTCTAATTAAGGAAACTATTAAGCTTGACTTATGACAGTTTTTTTATTTTCTTTTTTAATTTGACATTTATTCTATCATAGTTCTTTTTGAAATTTGTATTTTCAAACTTGAAAATAATAAAAGCAGAAAATCATTTAAATACCATTTCTCTGAATATAATTATATATTGATTCTTTGGGATCAGTTTCCTCGTCCTCATATTAACCTGAAGATGTGAAACAAATCCCTTTTATTTAATCCATCAGAGTATGTTCTCATCCTTTTTATCTGTCATGTCTGATGCTCTTCTTAGACTACAAAATGGGATAAAAGCAACAGATAAGGAAATTAGTCTGGAATTATGTATTGTAATAATAATAATAATAATATTTCAGAATTTCCAATAAAAATTCAAAGTTGCTTCTTTGAAACTATCTTTTTAGAGGAATTCTTTCCCATTATGTATAATTATTTTTGATGAAATCTTAGACTTTTTCTTTGATACTATTGTTATGTTGAATCATAAGCCTTACTCCTGTGCTCTTTTTGGCAAATTTCGTTAGCAAAACATGACATTTTCCTTACATTTCCTTTTTCCTTTTCTTTTTCCAGGTGGCTTACAAAATTAGGTCTGCAAGCATACATTGACAATTTTCAACAGAAAGGACTTCATAATATGTTCCAGTTGGATGAATTCACACTCGAGGTACATTATAAGTTCCTGTTTATTTGGAGTTTTATGCATTCTTTGATGCTTTGACTGAACACAAAAAATAATAATTTTCATGATCTTTAGCTACTAGTCACTAAAAGAGAAATAACTGGATGGATAAGAACTCTTGATTTTAATTTATTGATCTGTTTCTAAAAACACTCTACCGAGAATATAAATGTTGTATTAGCACATGACAAGTGATTAATGGATTAGTAGGTTATTGAAGATATCACTGTGACCTGGTAAATTAAAAACTTTTAATAAAGGCTTTAGTTCTCTTTAGTGCTATTAGAACTGTTACTGTTACATATATTTTACTCATATTGAATGACTAAAGCATTAACTACTTATTTTTATTGATTTTAGTACCGACTGAAAAGTTCAAGTTTTAAACTTATTGCAGTTGTGATTTCTGAATTTGATTTTTAAGAAGCTAAAAATGTTTTATGAAATAGTTACTGTTCATTAAAGAAAAGACCTATTTATAATTGTTTAATGCTTAAAAAATTTTATTTAAATAAAAACACTTAGAAAGAATGGCATCCCTTCAACCCTTTCTAATTTTGTCAATAGTCAAAAATGCTTGTGCTTGATATGAAATCTTTGAACATATACTTTTCAATACTATTTTCAATAGTATTGAAATTTCTTATTCTCTACTGAGGTCTGGGATGGAGGATAAGGTGTTGTATCATCTCTGGATTGTGGTTGTCTATCTGAACTTCCTCAGGAGGGATACTGCATCAATAGACGAAATCAGTGGCAGACAACTTTCCTTCTTTTTTTTTTTTAATCTCACTTTATTTGGTGGGGTGTGTAGTAGTTATCATTTCTTGGAGGTAGCACACATGAGAAAGAGGCTGGGGAGGGAGAGCTGATATCAGTAGGTATCTTCTGTGATGTTATTGCTGCCTTAAATCCTCATTCAAGTCTCTCTATTGAAACTGGGTTCACAAAGTAATCTGGGAGAACAAGGCTCAAATGAATATCTGACTTCTCTACCACAACCCTAACTCCTTGACTGAATAATGATGCTATGAATTTATATGAATATAAGATTTTATATAGATATTTAGAAAAAGACAATCTGTCACTGAGTCCATGTGCACAGGGTTCAGGCCACCCAACTCAAGTTTAGGTTGTTTTGGACCAAAGTTCAGAGAAATATGGTAGTCTTTTTCAAAAAATGAAACTTGATACATTTTACAAAAAAAAATATAAAATAAAACCTGAACTGGATAAACTTAACTTTGGGGCATGGGTCCATAAAAAATTAAAATGTAAATTAGGAGGTAATTTTCAAAATGTAATTGGCTTCTCTTTTTTTTTTCTTTTCTTTTCTATTTTTTTTTCGTTTCTATTTTTTTTTTTTTTTTTTTTTTCGTTTTTTCTTTTTTTGTTTTTTTAAATGATTATTTCTTTACTAATTCTTGGTATTAGCCCCTAGTTTGGAGGTTAAAATGAAATTGTTACATTTTCTTAAACAACAAAACAAAAAAGTTACATTTTATAGTTCTTCAACTATTGAAAACATGCATTGTCTTTTTGATTTTTTTTTTTTTTTACACACTGTTATAACAACATTATGGAAGATATTAAGAATAGCATCTTTTTTTTTAAGCGGGTATCTGTTCTGTATTAGTGCTTTCCATGTCAGAGACCCCTACTCATCTTCTGTTCATTCATTCCTCACCCCAAAATTAGTAAAGTTTCAAGCATGTACCTCCAATGGATACTTTTTTTTTATAGCAAATTCAGGATTCTATACTTTTGATCTGTTTTTGCTCTACTGTCAAATTGCACTTCTACCTGTTTTTACATGATATAAATAGGATTTATTTTTATTGATGTACTACTGAAAAAAAAAACTTAATCTCTGTTGTGTTATAAATCATAGCAAGAAGTTGCAAGGCATTAACTGTTGAAATGAAACTTATATGGACAATCAAATGTAACCTTTTGTGTCATTTCTTAACTATTTTGTTTTTGAGAACACAATTTTTCTCAATGTTTAGGTTGATCTAATCTAATAATTATTGATTCCATTAAGATTATATTTTTTTCTTCTTCAAGACAACCTAATATAACATTACATTTATAATGATTCTTAATTACTCTGAATACTGCATCTTCAGTTATACACTGTTGAAATTGACTTTGCTCCAATAGCATGTGACAGTAAACTGACAAAGTTTGAATGGTCATAACTTCATTATTAATTGAGCTACCAAGATATTTTTAGTTCCATTTTTTTGAATTGTCATGTTCTCTATGCATGTATTAAATGTTTTTAGATATATCAAAAAGAAAATTTCAATTTAGGATACCAACTCTCATATTTTCCTCTCTCTATCCTATATATTATGCAACAGTAAACAAAAATTGTCAATGTCTGTTTATACATACTTACAGAGCTTTCTTTTTTTTCTTTTGTGGTGGGGAGAGTTTTGTCTTAATACTTACAGCTGTTTTTTAGAATACATCAAATAACTTCAATGAAACATATTGATACTACCTAAAATTTTAACTTGGGTTTTGTTTTGACATCTAAATTGAAAGCTTAAAATCTGACAATTTTTTTTTTCAAACTAAATTTGAATTATTGAAGTTTATATGATTTGCTTAATAACTTCAGACAGGATGTTAATTAGAATCCTGTGTTCAATAATCTCTATCTTCAAGTATTAAAACTTTGACTCTAGCAGTGAGCTGTCCCTGTAAGCATTTCTATGTTACATTTACTTCTTTGCCAATAAAGCACATGGCTGTGAGTCCTTTTTTTTTTCTTTTAGTTGACTTGCATTAAAAAAAATAAAAACTAATTGTTTAAATCTATGATCTTATGAAATATACAGGGTGCGATGTGTAAATTGTTGCCACTTTATATTTTAAATTTAGTGCTTAGGTGTTAATCTGAGGAAAATGCAGAGGATTCAGAAAGAGTTGGATGAGTCTAATGGTGATTATGAATGTGTTTGGAGTGATCACTAGTGATTTTCCCACAGGGCCCCAGAGGCCTATTCATGTGTCTTGAGGAGGTAGTATTCCCCTGGGTCCAGAAGGTGACTGCTGGAAGACCTTATGTCTGGCAACAGGACTCTGCACTATGCCACACAAGCAGGAGAACCCAGTCATGTCTGTAAGACAATTTCTTTGACTGCATTCACCCCTTATATCTGGCCACCTAACTCCCCAGACTGCAACCGCCTTGATTATTATGTGTGGGGCACAGTTGTGCAAGAGACAAACAAAACTACTTGTAACACAAAAGATAAACTGAAGGCAAGGATTATGGCAGCATTCACTAACTTCAGCAAGGAGCCCGTCCAGAAGAGTTGCAGGAGATTCTGGAGGCCATTGTTGAAGCCAAAGTCAATTTTATTGAATAAATTTACTCTTTAGCATTTCAATTTTGGTAAATATATCTGTTAAAATGAGATGTTAGTGTTATTTTCCTTTTTGCATAATTTACAATTTATCCATCACAACCTGTACAAATTGTAGATAAAACTTACACTTGGTTTTGTGTTCTGAATGATTTATTTTTTCATTTTTAGGATCTCCAAAGTATGCGGATAGGAACTGGTCATCGCAACAAAATTTGGAAGTCTCTATTGGATTACCGGCAATTGCTTAGTTCTGGCACAGAATCCCAAGCTCTCCAGCATGCTGCTAGCAATGCATCAACATTGAGTGTAGGCTCCCAAAATTCCTATTGTCCTGGTTACTATGAAGTAACTCGTTACTCTTTCAAGCACACAGTTTCATATCTCTGACATTTTACTTAGAGAGAAAAATAAAAATAAAAAATTTTGTCTTTTGGTGGCATTTAGAAAGTGAACTCTGTCTTTGGACCAATCAGGAAAGTAATTTCCTTTCAACTTTATTATTCTTTGTTGCATGGATTGTGTTTGGATCCAAAGAAATAGACTGAATAGCCATGGTAGATTTGCCTTATGAAACATTCTGCCATCATTGGTTTTTCTTTTCTCTTTCCTTATGTCATACCATATTTGAGAATGAAAACAAATTTTAAAAAATTATTTTTATTTGATATTTGTTGTAAACAAAAACTTTTATATGTGGTTGGGTAATTTTTTTTTCTTTTCTCTACTAAACAAAATTTTGACATGCCTTACTAGAAGATATGGACATTTTTCTTTTATTTTTTTTCAGTAGCTATCATTGTACAGTCAGCCATTACTATTCAGGTGATTTATTTGTAATCACAATTTTTCATGTGATTGGCTTACAAAAATGGCCAGGGAACAATTTTGTAACTTCTGTTGGTTAGAAAGCATCCCCCATCCCCTCCACAAAAAAAGGGTCAGACAGTTTCATCTGTTCAAAATGAAGAAAAATTCCAATTTGCATTTCCATGGCCTTTCACATTGTTTTTCTTCTTTCACTTCATTCTCTTCCCAAATTTATCTGGTGCTACTTTGTCTTTAAATTACACAGATGTTTATTTCATTTTTTTTTTTTAAACTTTATTTTGCTATGTGTTTCTTTATAATTTTTCAGTTTTTGTTAGGAAATTAGCTAACTACCACTACTTCCATCCCAATTGAACCTGAAATTTGTTCACAAGAAAAAGCAAAAAAAATCACACATGTTCCTACATCTTGTTAACTGCCTGTTGGTCATTAAAAACAAAAAAAAAAACAATCTTGTAACTTTGTCATTTGCAATCAATACACACTGTAATAATGAGACTGCCTTTTACATAAGAATTATTCTTCATTTGTTGCTATTTCATATTTTGCTGTAATTTGTCTATCAATAACTTGCAGCCATTTCTTTCATGCTTTCATTGATTCTGCTATCTGATAAAATCTCTTACAATCACCAAGTAAATCTTGTTAGAAAAACATTAATCCTTTATCCAACTACTGTATATTAAATATAATTGTCGGTTTAGCAGAAAAGTCTCTCATGCTAGTTTCAATTTACTTTTTTAATTTCTTAGTCCAATTTGTATGAATGTTACTTATTTGAAGTTACAGCTATGTTAACTTCACTTGTATAGGTGGGAGGCAGTCTCACAGTCTTCTGCTGTTGAATAAAATGGCTCTTTTTCTTTTTTTTTTTTTTTTTTTTTTTTTTTTTTTTTTTTTTTACATATCTTTTAATCATTACATGTTATAATCAGTTTCTGAGGTAAGTCTACTTGTGAGTAGAGTGTTTTTCTTAAAAATTGACTTAAATTAGCTGTCTATCTTCTTGACTGAAAAGTTTAATATTTATTAATTTTATTTATTTATTTTTTCAAAGGTTAAAACTTTCTTGGATAATGTCTCATGTACACACTGCTTTGAAAGACAGCGTTTGTCCAGAGCAGTCAGTTACTGAAAATAAACAGCAGTCTACTTGAATGTTAGTTTGTCAGGTTCCTGTGTAAATAGGAGACTTGAAAAATAAATGTGTATTTTCTCCTTAGCTTGATATCCCACCCCGAGCCTTTAAACATGAGGGTAAAGCAAAGAAAACAATTTGTATTTGTTTTCTATATTTTTATCCTTTTCTAAATTGCCTTTTTTTTCAGTATGGTGAATGTCTGAATAAATCTATATGAGCCAATAATGCGGTGAAAAGGTTATAAGCCAAAGATTATTTTAGGGTATCTCTCTTTGATCAATGTACAACTCTACTGTGCACTTCCTTTTATAAAATGTTTCCTTGTTTATAAAAAAAAAAAAACGAAATAAAATAAAGATTTTTAGACAATTCACATTTGCTGTTCAGAAACCAAACCTGCTGAAACTTTTTATTAAATACATCCTTTCCTATTTGAATAAGGAAAGCAAAATAAAAATGATTGATCTCTTGTTGATGAGCATGTAAAATAATTCTATTTAGTAATTCATATATAGCTTTATATTGTAGTGTTTCTAATACTGATTTCTTTTTTTCTTAATCTCTTTTTGATCTTTTCATCATCACTAATATAAATTAACCTTGTAAATAAAACAGTCTTTTTTTCATTGTCAGATTTAAAAACTTTAGCTGTAAATAGATAATGGCCTGGTTTATTTTACTGTTTTTGAACTGAAGATGATTAACAACTTTTCTTTTTCTTTGACATTTCTGCAATACTTGATAATCATTGATAACTTGTCACTTGGAGTCACAAAATCATGTATTGAACAAGTAATCAGTTAAAATGTGTCCCTCTTCCACTGCCTGACTCTATTTCCCCTTTTTACATCCTTTCTTCTGGAATCTCAATGAAAAGTAAGAGAAGAAATTATAATAAAAATGGAGGCTGTGGGAATGATATAATAAAAAAATGAGGCAAGTCTTATTGGAAATATTGTAATGAAAATCCAGGCAGGGTTTCTTTTTATTTAAGTTCATTAAATATCTTTTGTACTAAAAACGTTTTTGGATTCAAACTTTGTGTATTTTAGCAGTTCAGATTCAGTTCAAATTTTGTCTTATTAATATATCTTGTTAATGGCTGAATTTCCTTTTTTTTTCTTTTTGATGAAGAGAAAATATCTGAAAACCTAACTGTATCACTTGGAATTACATTTTTCTTTTCTTTTTTTTGTTTCAAAATGTAAAAAGAATAGGTTAAACTTAATATTTTTCATTATTATTTTGTAATGTGTTGAAGAAGCAAAACTGAATTTTAGTTTTATCAACTCAATATAGGTAAGGCTTGACAATTTTCTAGGAATCTTTCTGCTTGGAAAAGTCTTTCGTTTTTGTTATATTAGTTGACTTTGCCTCGGTATATACTTCTTCACCCTAAATTTTATCCATGACTATTGTGTTCAGTGTATTTATATACTTGTAAAATCTTTATCACTCAAGGAATACATCACTACATTTAGAGAATTCAGTTTTGTTAGAAGTCTGCAATGGTCATTTTCATTATTAGTTCATGTTTGCAAAATAGTTTAATTTCAGATACACTTAACCATTATTTTTTTATCTTTAGCTATTGATTAGTTCTTGTATAGAATGCCAAGTGTTTTACTACTTGAGCGTACAGGTTCTTAAAAAAAAAAAGAAAGAAAAAATAATGAAATTAAGTTTTTGTTAATCATAATTTCATTCATTAAATTTTAATTTCATTTTTCTTTCCATTTCAATATTTTAAAATTATCTCTTTTGAATTATAAAAAAAGAAAATTGCAATCGAAAAATTAACTGAAAACTCCTGATTCTCATACTGAAAAGAAAACCAAACCCCAACAAACATTGTGAATTTTTCCTACATGTCCCATGGGCAGTGACTTAATTTGAATGAGATACACACATCAAATCTTAACACAACTGAATTCACTTACATTACTTTCTGCTGCTGCTTATTATTTTTTTTCCCATTAAAAAAAAAAAAACTGCAAATAATAAAAGCTTGTGTTAATATTACTGCTAGTTAAAAATCTTGCTTGTTCATATAACATCGAATTCTTGATAATATTTTTATTTTTTTTTAAATTAAATATTTGAAGTCTTCACATGAGTGCATGTTTTAAGTATGTTGCTACAGAAGTAGGCAGAAGAGATTTGATAATCTTTGCCTTCTACATCCTTTTTACATGACTGATTGTTTTTTTTTTGTTTTTTGTTTTTTGGTTTTTTTTTTTAAGGTTGTGTCACATTTGAAACATATGACACAAGTATTTATGAATAAGCCAAGATTTAAAATGCAAATGTTGAAATAAAACAATGTTTATAAAAAAAAATAATTTTTGTTTACTTCAGTCATATCCTTTATTATTGCATACATCAATGTTTACAGAATGCCTTTTTATTGCGTCTTCCATTTCATATTGGTTAGCAATTTTTTGTTTCTTACATTTTTACACCACATTTATTTTAATCTTGCTTTCTATTGAAACTTAATCATAACAGGTTTTCTCAAGAGTATTGTTGTAGCATACCTATGGACAATAATGATTATGTCCCCATTCACATAAATACAGTAGTAAATACTGTATATTGGTCTGCAGTTTGAGATTGCTGTGCTGGTCAAACTCTCTGCCACCGGGCAGAGAGGATCCCTAGATGAGACTATGTTGAAGGGCAGTCTCATCTCTAGAAACGGCTACCCGATCTAGTTTTATGTAGGGGTCTATGGGAAATTTTTGGCAGGGTACATGGGCTCAGATACCCCACATTAAATTCGGCTTTGTGCCACATCAGACCACGTGGGATGGTTGGTAGTTATCCTGCAGTTGGAGATTCATTGTGGAATTCACTTGACTCACTTCTAGCAATTGACTACTTCTACATGCTGCTGGCGAATCTTGTGTTCTTGTCCCAAGTATTATCGTTCATTACCAACCTTTGTATGATTATTCTATTCAGTAACCTTCCATAGGTTACAAGTATTAATCTTTATGTAATTTTTTCACACTATTCATAAAACTTTACATTTTCTGCTAGATTCAATATACATTAACTCGAATTAAACATGAAAATGTTCCCGATTCTAAATTGGACACATTTTTCGATATGACTTTTTGTCTCTGCCCTGTTAGCTTTCTACCATCCAGAAATAAATTTATTATACATCTCTGAGCTAACCTCCTGACTGACATGTAATACTTAAAAAGATCATATTAACCTTTTAGTATTCAAACTGCCCTGTAAATATCTGTTCTCAATGCTCAACCCACCCCAAGTATACTCTGTCATAATATATGGTGACATCATTGCAAATAATGCAGGATGTCCTACAAACCGTGAGACTTTACCACAAACTGTAAGACTTTGAGAGCTGATATTTATGGTGCAGGTTTGAGTGTGTTGAAGGTTAAGGGTCAAATATAGAATAAAATTTATGCTGATTTGTCTTATTATTCATATAGAAGACCATATTTCTAGATTGTGCAAATATTAACTTTTCTTTTTAATATGAAATATCAGATTGGTTAAGATGAGTGTGTAGCTATGAGGTTGGACATGCAAACATTAAATTTATTTTGTCCTTTTTTTTCATCAAACAACTATAAAAGATTAACAGTTCTGAGTAATTTCCTTCTAAACTGTATAATCTCCCTCTAAACCAGAATACCTGATTTAGTAATTTTTGTAGGTGGAGAACTATTTGTACTGCATGGCTATTGTAGATTAGATTATTTATGTACCTTTATAGGAGATTCTGACTGTACAACATCTCAGTGACAGACACTCAAGAAAAGATGACACACTCCTCCCTAAAAAAAAAAAATGATGATCCTCCAAACTGCTAAGAAGTACTCACTGCCAAACATTTTTTAATTAACTCAAAAAAAAAAAAAAAAAAATAGTACTAATACGAAAATACTTCTACAATGTACCCACTTTAGGACTCTCTTTGACAATGTTGAACCCAATCCCATTCTAGAATTTTTAAAAGTAACTAAGCTCTACCCCAAAAATATGAAATACACATCCAGCTCCAAAATGGAACTAAAACTGAATTATATCCCTACCCTTATATAATAATGACTTACAGAAGAATTTGTTTGCAAAATCTCTAAATTATCAGCCTTTGTACTCGCAATGTTTGAAAAGTATTGTTGACTACAGAATCGACACTGAAGATTGTTCGAAGCCTGAAATTGACAGTCACCATATATTGGCCGGGGTGTTTTGAGCAATTTTCCCACACTATTGTTGGTAAACTCACTTTCAACCTCTACCTTGTGTTACACTCGGTAATGACGTGAAAAGTCCCTATTTAAATATAAATACTTTTTTTTCCCCCGTCATTTTGGTGGTAATTTCAATATTGTTGGCATACAAATAGATTGGGTGATTATAATAAAACTTATGGTTGGAAATATTCCAAATACTAAAAAGGTTTAAGGGATGAAACGCTTTGTTTTAGAATGAGGGTGGGGGTATTTCCTGAATGTTTAATAAAAGGAGTAGTTGAAATAAAGATGTGAATGAAGAATAAATAAATTTTAAAAATACGAATACATATTAGCAGAAGCCATTGCTTACCCCCCCAAAAAAAACCCCTTTTTCTGACGATCGCGAATGTACTATTCCTTGCCAGGTCTCCCCCACCCCACTCCAGACACTTTATTTAAGGCTTTTTTTTTTTTTAATCATTTCACCCAATGCAAGTCACGGAAGCCATTAAGATGTAAAGGGTTACCGAGAATGAAGTGAGAAAACGTTATTGAATATAAAGGGGCGATAAAATAACAGGAATTAAGATACAGATGTATAACTGATATTTTGGAAGATCCTCGTGAAGAAGAAATCGGAAGATGAGTTCCAAAAAGGGAAGATGTGCGAACGAAGAAAATATTAGAATAGAACTTACGGTTATAGCTAGCAAATGAATGTAAAATGATGAAACCTAGCTACCAATCTAGCACTACGCTTAAATTCATGAAATCGAAGTAGCAAAGAGAAAAGCATCAGAGGAATTACCGTGAAAATGTTTATAGAAAAGGCAGAGAGAAGATACGTTACGGCGGTGCGAAAGTGAGTGAAACCGAGATGCCAGGTCAGGATCAATAACATTACAGTTTATTTGAATTTTGTTAAGAATCTTTAGATATAGTGATTTTCCAAGCGTAGCTCATGTGGCACAAGGCCGAAAGTATGGGGCACCCAGTGAGGATTGAACCCACTACTCCGTCGCAATTGTTCTAGCGAGACAAGCTTGTTAACCATTACACCACCTCGAGTTACCCAAGAATATTTAGATATAAAAAAGAAACACGAGACCAGATATGACCACAATATTCGATGCACGGACAAATGGTGGACTTATAAATGTGCGCTATATATTCTGGTGCTAAAGTGTTTCGCACGACATAGGTAACCGACTTTCCTAGCAGTAGACCTAGCAATTGATTCAATCATTCTACTACATGTCAGTGGAAAACGTGAGACCAAGACGGCGTAGTGCCTTGCTTTCCTGGAGGTTAGCATCAGCTATAACAGATGGCTAAAAAGATGATTAGTTGTGTTTTGGCGGGGTTAAAATTAACAAGTATTATTTTCTTCAAGTTTATGAAATTTATTTTTGTTTATAAGTTATCGTTTACGGATTTACAACTTTCGTGAACATGTTTCTGTGGTTACTTCTCTTTATTATTCTGTAGTGGACACAACAAAATTAGATACAAAAAACGCAGATTCAAAGAAGGTCACAGAAAAATAATTTTCCCCATTCCCTCAACAACCAATAAATAACTATTGTTATATAGAAAAGAAAGTAGCGAAGTAAAAGCTGTCAAGAGACACTCCTCAGAAAAGAAAAGAACCGGAAAAGTGGATTACAGCAAGTGGATCAAGAGACAACATTAGGAGATACTAACTAAAGGCGCTATAATAAAAGGAGGCCACACTGGACCCCAATCCTCTTTCAGCTGATCAATGAACAATGTCAACTGCCCTAGGGTACACATAAGTTTTACGATGCGCAGGTGGGCGACAAGAACGTTAGTGAAATGAACTAAAGTTTCATATTGACTTTTGGAGAGGGGAATAAAAATACATCGTTACTCTGTGCAGCGCTCAAAAATAAATATATCTTCATACCATTCCGCTTGCGTTTGTTCATTATTGCCAACTCATCCATGTTCTATTGTCAATGACACCCTCATTCGGGTTTGTAGTGAACTGCCGCAGAGGCTTCGTGGGTTACACATTTGAAACAGATAGATCCCGAAGTCAGATAATCTCGCGAGATTATCTTTTCGCATATGTAAATTTTGTCTGTGAATGAGGGGATAAAAACAAGGGGGGGGGAACGGTTACTGCTGAGTCGAACAGGCTTCACTTTTTGCGGTCAGGAGAGTGTTTGAGAGGAAACGGGTTTCGGAAATTGCAAGAAAAATGAAAAGTTTACAACCTTTTATCTACAGGATTCTATTGCTCATTCAGGTTCTATTGCCAGTCAGCCCCTCATTCGGGTTCTGTTGCCTACCACCCCCTCATTCAGGTTTTATTGACAAGTATCCCGCTCATTCAGGTTCTATTGCCAGTCACTGCCTCATTCGGTTTCTGTTGCCTACCACCCCCTCTTTCAGGTTTTATTGACAAGTATCCCGCTCATTCAGGTTCTATTGCCAGTTACTCCCTCATTCGGTTTCTGTTGTCTACCACCCCCTCATTCAGGTTTTATTGACAAGTATCCCGCTCATTCAGGTTCTATTGCCAGTCACCCCCTCATTCGGGTTCTGTTGCCTACCACCCCCTCATTCAGGTTTTATTGACAAGTATCCCGCTCATTCAGGTTCTATTGCCAGTCACCGCCTCATTCGGTTTCTGTTGCCTACCACCCCCTCTTTCAGGTTTTATTGACAAGTATCCCGCTCATTTAGGTTCTATTGCCAGTCACCCCCTCATTCGGTTTCTGTTGCCTACCACCCCTTCATTCAGGTTTCATTGACAAGTATCCCGCTCATTCAGGTTCTATTGCCAGTCACTCTCTCATTCGGTTTCTGTTGCCTACCACCCCCTCATTCAGGTTTTATTAACAAGTATCCCGCACATTCAGGTTCTATTGCCAGTCACTCTCTCATTCGGTTTCTGTTGCCTACCACCCCCTCATTCAGGTTTTATTGACAAGTATCCCGCACATTCAGGTTCTATTGCCAGTCACTCTCTCATTCGGTTTCTGTTGCCTACCACCCCCTCATTCAGGTTTTATTGACAAGTATCCCGCTCATTCAGGTTCTATTGCCAGTCACTCCCTCATTCGGTTTCTGTTGCCTACCACCCCCTCATTCAGGTTTTATTGACAAGTACCCCGCTCATTCAGGTTCTATTGCCAGTCACTCCCTCATTCGGGTTCTATTGCCAGTCACTCCCTCATTTGGGTTCTATTACCAGGCACTCCCTCATTCGTTTCTGTTGCCAATTACCCCCTCATTCAAATTCTAACAACAACAGTCCAGCATTGCAGAACCGACATTTTTAGACGACTGCGACTACTAACATGTGCGAGAAAATATCACAAAATCAAGTTACTGGGTACTTCTATACCCTATCATACCCGACCATCCGCAATTCTCTCGACTTTTTAACTTAATTTTAAGCAAAGTCACTTTAATATGCAATACAGTGTGTGTCAGGTATTTGAAAACAAAGTTTAATTTGAGGTAATCATATTATTTACCAGAGAAAAGTATAATTTGTTTTATAGAATTTAGCGCACATGTTCTTATATATAAATACAAAACATGGATCTATTCAACATAAAAGCAATCAACTTCGATTACGACTTCTAAAACGATTACATGCGTTGATTAGGTGTTTATTTGTGGTGGCCATAACGTCCCCGTTAGTAGCCATCAGAGTGACCTTGGAATTGTGGGTATGCTTGTTGGTCTCCTTCTTAATGACCATCACTAGACGTACAATAGGGTCTAAATCACGAGAGTTAGGAATTAGGCGACCGTTAAAAATGTCCGTCCAACTATGCTTGGGTTTTGTCGACTGTGTGAGAGGGTCAGAGTTTTGCTAGTATACGTATAGCCGCCCTGAGCTATTTCTTCAATTCAGGACTTGATAACGGTGTTCAGTATCTCAATTTGGGGTGGTGCATGACGTCGCCCTCATTGCTCATGCCCACCACAGACGACAGGAATCTGTACATGTTCCTTTTTTCCACCTTTTTGATTTTGAACCAAGTTTAGGTTTGAAAAAAGCCAGTGCATGTTGGGCTCCTCGGTGTGATTTAATTTGTTTAGCAAGTGTTCCAACTGGAACAGGTCTCTTGCGGGGTACTATTGGGTATAACGTAGGATTTGTATTTGATGTCTTTCTCCACCGCACGTCAACCCCGACACATGGAGCTGATTGGCAACGACCCTCATTGATTTTCCGTGATTCTCGTTTTTGATACCCTGGACTTGCTGGACGAACTTGACATTCTTGACAATGTCTGACAGTCGAGAAAGATTTTTTTTTTTTTTTGGCCACTGAAGATACATCGTTGCCATAAACCAGGGCCTCCTTTCTTACCTTAAACACGAAAGACCTGGCGAGATTTTAGAAGATCGCATACTCCAAATATGGTTGTTTGGCGACTAAAGCAATGAGAATGGTATGCTTTTTTTTTTATTTATCTTCTGCGTTATAATCGAAGCTTCCATGGCGGGGGGGGGGGTGACAATATATTTAGTTAAAACTGAAACGAGGCATTCTAAAAACGTGTTCTTAAATACCTGACGGACACTGTTTGTGTATAGTGTAATCGGTCACTTTTCCATGGAAACAAAAGCACGAATATAATATTTGTGTATAGTACGAACGCTTCTTTACTTTTCATACAAGGTTTTGTACTATCCACTTATCGAGATTTTTTCTCTCTTTGTTAACTTTCTGACGCCATTTTGTCATCATTCTTTTCTTGTCACAAGTCTTCATTTATGGAGGATTCGTGGAACATTACCTTATGAAAAGGTCCATTCCCATCATATATCGCTATATTTGATTTGAATGTCTATATTGTCTTGTATAATGGTTAAAAGATCAAACAGTGTTAATAAGTACAAAATAAATCTTTATATAATGATATACTGAAGGATAAGTTTAAAGTTTCAAAAGTTTAAGTGTAAAAGTCCTAGCGCCTACAATAGATAGAGAGAGATTGAGAGAGATGGAGAATCCGGGAGGAAGTAAGTATGTATGTATGTATCCAAATATAGTAGCCGTCTGTTTAACAATGTAAGCAAAAAAAGGCATTTTTGTTTTCAAATGTAGCAGCGGGCTGCTTAAAAGAAAGGGTGTATGTTTTGAATGTATTTTAGTATGGTGTAGCTATCTAAAATCGCCGGTCAGTCGTGCAAATGTATTTAGGCTTTGGGTTTGTTAAGATGACCGCAGTATAGGAGAATGGACAAAATCAATCCATTCTGATTTTGGTTGATTTTCCATCTCGTTATATACATATCTTTTCCAAAGTGCCGCTTTTATTCGCATTGTGGTCTTACATCCGGGTTTGCAGAAGTTCTTGTTTCTGATTGGCTCGCTAGACCAGGATGTTTGTACAATCCTGCTTGAGACGGCTTCTGATAGTTTGGACTAGCGATTCTGAATATATATCTATTTTTTATAGATAGTGAAATTTTAGTCCTGTTGTTATTACTTGTTTATTTTTATTTATTTTCTATCACTATACACTTATTGACTTTTCATGCGTTATCGAAGTGTAGACTTTTGTTTCGTGTTGTTATAGGTTGAACGTTGTCGAAAAAGGTGATGAAGATGTGTAATTAGTTTTGTCAGTCACATCATGGTAACTCGAATCTAACGTGTGAGCTATTGAAGAAAGTAATTATCTCTCATTTTTTTCGTCCATTATGAGCATTATTACATCCATGATATAATAACAGTTTATTTCACGGATGGAACGGAAGAGCTGAAGTAAAAGGAATGACAAACATGCTTTGTCCTGGAGAGAGTTTTATGCAGAAAATGATATATACATATTTACATCTGTAGTGGGGCCTTCGTGGCGGTTACCACTTGTTGAGGGTTCATGGTGTGGCTGTTATGTTGTTGATAGAAGTCAGACGTAGAAGAAATGCATGTAAAGTTCAGATACTCCTGCCAGCCGGGCCCAACTACATAAAAAGGTTGGACTTTGATTAAGTCCAAAGAAGAAGGCAAAGAAAGCAAACAAAACACAAAACCGATAATATATGTATATACAAATATATATTAATAACAAGTTACAATACATGGAAACAGTACAAAGGACGAAGTGTGTGTGAATATTCTGTATGTGCGTGCGTGTGTGAATATTCTGTATGTGCGTGCGTGTGTGTGTTGTGCTTAGCGTGTTTCCACGCTATCCCTTGTTAGCGCCTACATTTCGAGGTTGATAGCTGAAATCCTGAAGGAAAAAGAGAAATTTACCTCAAGGTGTTGGTGCACAGGCCTGAAGGAAAAAGAGATAGAGGTGAAGAGTCAGCGGCTATTTATAGCCAGGGAAGAGAGACCACTGGTGAAAGGGTTAACAGAGTAAAGGAGGAGTTAACTCAGACACATCTGTCCCACACAGAGAAACGATAAAACGTCTACACAACAAGCAGTGTGAAAAGGAAACGAAAAGATAGGGTCTTATTTGTAATACTTGTAATAATTCCTAACGGTAATTGGAACTACTGGAGATTTTTCGATGTTTCAGGACAAGACCTATTCAAGATTCGAGCTGGCCAGATTTATTTGCTATGTCACCAGCGAGGACATATTCTACAAACATGAAAACAGTGAGTCATGGGTTTTTCCCAAATTGAGAAATTGAGGAGTGCGAGCCGCATATAGTTTCTGTATCCGGTAAAAATATATATATATATATATATATATATATATATATATATAAACACAAAAAAAAAAAACCGGTGCCATGGGCTTGCAAACTGCATAATGTGGCAGCTGGCAGGCCTGGGACGAAGCTCGGGCAGAATGAGCAACTCGCGTGTCTTGACTCCAGTCAGTTAACTAACGGACTGACCACATTTGTCACTCAAGGAATGACATCGCTAATTGGCCGTCACTTGACCCACCTGATTTCATTTCAACCAAAGGGGGGTTGTCGCCTTTTATGGTCTTACACAGCGATACTGAATTTTAGAAAATCTTTGTAAGTATAGTTGTTTTGCAGTAGCGAAGAGAGAATCCTAATAGTTGTTAATACGATTCTACCGAAGAAAAAATGTTATTTTCTCTAGAATAGTGCTTAAGATATTTTTTTATCTTATAATTTATTTAGATAGTCAAATGTCACCTACCATATATAATCGAGTATAGTGCGAATTTCTATGAGCAGTGTTTTACGCAAAATGTAGAGAGTCGCTATATACACAGATAATTTTTGAAGAGGTTAAAAATCATACATTTTCGGTGACCGGTTGCATTGAGGTACATACATCGGGATATGATAATTCAAGTCATTCCAAGTAAAAAGTTCTCTATATACATATGTAGTTTTTTTCTGTACTTTGCAAGAAATTGGGCTTGTCTAAATGTTTTTATTTACAATAAGGTGCACCCTATACAGGATCCGGGGACCACTTCAGGTAGTGGTTTACGTTTAGGGATAGTTTATATGGATAGGAGAGGAAGATGACGGTTAACTCTAGACTTGAACAGGTTAAGATTATAGTGATTGCGGAAACATCTTCTTGGGAGTCTGTTCCACAATGGTTCACGGGAAGAAGCTGTTCGAGTGGAACTTCTCACGGATGGAATGTGGATGGTTTGCTATTACGTAAGTGGCATGGCGCGTTCTAGCCGTGAAGGTTACACCTGGCACAACCAGGAAATCTAGTTCTTCCGAGCACTTTCCATGGAAATAGCGATAGAACAATGAGAGACTTGCCTGTGAGAGAGAGATTGGAGAGCGGAAAATAATTCTTCTCAAGGCTGTAAAGTGAGTTCTGGGCAGCTCTCGCCCAAATATGACAACATTACTCCATTTTAGGCCTGATCTGTCTCTTAAACAGCTAGAGGAGAGTGCGAAGAGTCAGGTACTTACTAGAGCGGTACAGTGAGCCGGTCGTTTTACCTGCATCTTTAGCGATGAATCGCATATAAGAGATCCATTTGAGTGAGTTTGAGGCCCAATAGTCTCTCATGGCACAGTGCCTCTTCGAAGGGGCACCCGTCCATCTGCAGGAGTGGCTCTCTGTTACATGTATCGTAAGTGGGTGGCTGGCTATGTTGAGTTACCAATGCATCAAATATGGTACTTAATTACTACTGTATTGTGCTACGTGTACATTCATTTCATTTAAAATTTAATCCGTCATCTAATAACAGCATTCTGTAAAGGCAGGCTCAAGGTAACACAACTACCTTAGCGAATAAAAACAAAAGTACGGTATCTAAATTGTAGCGGGCCGTTTGTACGTGTTGTGAGACAAACACGTGTG